CATGAAGATTTTAAAACTGTTAGAGGTCTATTTTACTGTTTGCTGTCTTCATTCACACTGGACATTTAACTTTCTGTGTAGCACAAAGGAATTTTTTAATACTCATTGTGTTTCATAGAAGAGGATAACTAAATACCCTGCAGGAGAGTCTTAAGTATAGTAGAGATTGTAATGATGAATTTCTTTTTTTGTAAAGAACATTAAGAACAAAGTAAAAGACTGACACTTGAGGGATTTAGAACTAGAATGCTTGTTCTGTCTCTCTGCTTAGTTTGGGTGAATGGATACTTTCAAACATTGTTTTTACTCAGAAAATTTTGTTTCTTCTCCGCTGAGGCTGATTAGCTTGGAGACTGTTACAAGTGCAAAATAGACATTGCTGCTGAATCTTCAGAGAATTTGCATGTTTCATTCAGTGTCCACATGTTTATAAATAAATACATTGATTTAGGCCTTCTGTTACATGCCAAGACTCAAAAAAGGAATTCTTATACCAAAAAAAAAACCAACTAAATAACACCCCCACAAACATAGTAACCTATTCTTGCCATAAAATCCTGAGAATTTTTACAATTCAGATGCATATCATATTTAATTCTTAAGTATATTTAACCTGAGAATGCCCAGAGTAATTATCTAGGCATGAATGACTCAACATGCTCAGGTTGTTGCAGATATTGTTGGCTCCTTTTGGTTATGAAATATGGGAAATTCTTCATACTGTCTGTTACTGTAAATGGTCTTGTAAAAGTACGTGTTCTGTCCTTATGGTACTTGGAACAGTACCAGAACTCTTTATGACTGAAATTGTGGGAAGTTTCTGTGCTGGAAAGTATGTACAGAGATTTTGTTTGAACAGTTAGGTATTTTGAGAAATGGAGACAATTTTTAAAGGTATATTGGTCTGCAGATTTTTATGAAGAGTAGTTTTTATTTTTTGGGTGTTTACAAATTCTTTTTTGCCCCTCTCAAAAGTCCCCGTACCAAGAATTATCATTCTTCTTTGGATGCTTTCATAACATTAGCTATTTGCTTGTGTGTACTCTGGGTCAGACTGGGGAAATGTGTGTTTGGGGAGAGTATAGTGGAAAAGCGCAAGAATTTGATTGATTGGTAAGTTTGCATAAGAGAGTTATTTCCTCAGTTACTATAAACTTTGGTATTTTAGGCATGTGCACTACCATTTGAGCAGTTTTACACTTCACTGTGCTTTTCTTGTAAATATCTGTGGTTAATAGTGTAGTGTTTGAGGGACTGAAAAAAGCAGCCTATTTCCTGTGTATCTGGACCATTAGATTGCTGTACTATACTGAAAAGTTGACTGCAGATTTCTAGAATTGTACTCACTTGTGGGCAGTTTTTGTCCTCATAATAGCTAAATTCCATCATGCAGAAAATAGTTGGACTGTCTATATAAACCTGTGTATAAACCAGTATCTCAAAGCACTTCATTTGTACTAACACTGTATTTGTGTAATTTAACAGTTGTGTAAATACATTCATAATAACTTCTGTTCTTCTTGGTGTAACTTACTGACTTGCAATGAATCTTCACCATTTACCTGATGCAACTCTTTTCTTTTTTCTCTTTTCTTCCTTTTTTTCTTCTCTTCTCTCATTTCTCTCTTCTTTTTTCTTTTTTTCAAGGGATTTCTGTACCTACAAAGAATATTGTCAGTTGCAAACATTTGAAGATACTGTCTTGGTAGCAAAACTTTCAGTGAAAGAGTTTGGTAGTTATGATCCTGGGGTGTACAGGAAGAAAGAGAAAGCATTAATTACTTTGCTCACAGAAAGCATGCCTTTTTGCCAGTTTAAAGGTAAATGTTTTTGTTTGGATACTTCTTTTTTTTCCAGAAGTTTTTAATTTTGTACAAAAGCTTTTGCGTATCAAGTAATGCAGGGTATTGATAAGAAAGTATAGTAGGGGAATTGAGATTAGAGTTATGGGAGCTAAGATAAAGGCAAGAAAAATAGTGAGCTGTACTCACAGTGGTGCCCTGTATAATAAAATTCCAGATTTTGCTATGTGATTCTCAAAAGTCTATTATAACCTGAGGGTAGGCGCACCTTCAGGAACCCTCCATGTTTTCTTATTATCAGACCTTTAGAAGTTGGAAGGATATTTTAATTTCTTCTCATGGTTTTTGCTTAAAATTGTGTATATGCTTTTATATGGAAAATACCACCTGTGCCGCTGTTCTACATAATCTTGAGTGGTTACAGAGTCCTTGAGTTTTTGTGGTACAAGTACTTTAAAAAAAAAAAAGAAAATAAATCCTCTGCTTTAAGAGAGCTATTAAGAGAAAACATTTGAGCCCATGTATTCCATGTTACCTTCATGAAAATATTCAAAGTACTCCTTGGAGGAAGGCACGTTGATGAAGTCATTGTTTCCAGTAGGAAAAATGTCATGAGCATAGCTACTTGTCTTTGTTTCCTCATGTCCCAGACCCTTGAGTATAGCATTGGCTAGAGCAGCATACATGTTGATTTCAAGAATATTTAGTTTCTCTTTTAAAATAATTAAATACAAAGGTGTTTATTTTGTTCTTTGACTTTTGCTTTACAAGAGCTGCACTTTGTGTACAAAATACCAAATTAAAACAAACACTGCTACTGGTTTTTTAATAGTGCTGGGCCATCTGTTCAGAAATCAAAATTTAAGCTTTGAGATTGTGAGCAAGTGTAATCCATCATGAACTTAATCCTACAGCAGCTTCTAAAATTCACTGGATGAGTTAGGTTAATAATAAAAAGGTTTTACTGTGACAGAATGCAGTATTTTGTTATTAAAAACAGTACGTTTCCCTTTGATTCATTCAAGTGACAGTTATTGATTTTACATGCATATGTATAGATTTAAGTGACTGTCTGAACCTGAATTGGTATAGACTATTTGTATTGTTCAATACTTTTGTGCAAGGAGAGTGCTCAGAGGCCTGGTCTTCAGTAAGAATCTGTTTCACAGCCAAATCATACCGACTTTTTCAGCAGATATTTGCACAATTTTAACACTTTACAACTTCTTAGATGTTGGTGGGTTTTTTCCTTGCTTAATATTATTAAAACTAGTATGGTTTGGTTCTTCTGTCAAAACCATTATATGCTTCAGGCAGAGGGATAGTAGAAAATGAGCGGAGAACTGTACATACAGAATCTACAAAAATATGCCTAAAATGTTCTTTGTTAATCACATTTTGGGCAATTCTTGATTCAAAATGCTAAAGGTATAGGTCTGAGATAAATATGTATGCCTAATGGACAAAGAGGAATGTGAAAAAGGGAAAAATGTCGCAGATCATCTTAAATTATTAAGCCCTAGTCTACAGTGTCTTTACCGTGACCAATCCAGGATGTTTGGGATGGGATGTGGAACAAGAATTCATTTGGTACATTATACACTAAAAAGAAAATACTTAGTCCTGAGCACTACAAGAAAAAAAAAAAAATTGTTCAGTTACAGTCCTCAGCTTGGTTCGGACCTGCAAGCGTTACAGGCACAAAGGCAGGACACAGCTTCTGGTATTTCCCTTAATCCTTAAGGAAAAGATAAACCAGGGTAATTTGAGGTCATGCACGGGTCTTTTTCTTAGATGACCCCAAACAGCAAATGTTTCTCTGCTCTCACGGCCAAAAAAAATGTATTTTGTTTGTCTGACATGTCATCAATGGATCTTAAGGCACGTTTTTCAACAAGACTCAGAAGGTCTTGTGCTGTTTAAGAGTTTTAAATACTAAAATCTGGATATACTTTTTCATTGGGTTCAGAGTTTTATTGTGAAAGGTTTTAAACTGTTGAAAGAGTAGTAAATGAAAAGTCAGAAGAGCAAAAGCTATCCTTTCTTAATGCTCTGAAGTATTCATCTGGGAGTAGTGAGGAAGGCTGCCAGCTGAAATATTGCTGACATGATGAAGCAAATACGGAGCTCAGTCAAGGAAATAACAGTGTATATCTAGAGGTAAGTAGCTTTTTACTCTGTATCTTAATTTGCCATACATTCTCAGACAAATACAGGACTGCTGATCTCACTGACTGTGTCACTAGCAAAATGCTTTTAAGCGCATAAGCATTTTAACTGGCACAAAAATGAGCTCTGTTTCAGAAGCATTGAGAAAGCTGCTAAAACAATCCATTCCAAAGCTGTTGCTTCTCATTCGCGGTGCCTCTGCTGTTGTCAAGGTTGTTTACTCTTCCAGAAGAAGAGGAGTACTTTCTTCAACAGGTCCAGCAGCAGGGAACAGCAGCTGTGCAAATCAGATCAAGCACATTTTCCCCTACAGTGATTGGCCCTACTTCTTTCTTTCAGACTCAAAGAGAGCCAGAGGCAAAGATAAATTCTGGTTTTCTGTCACAAGAGTGGGCTGACTACATGCTAGTAAGTTCTGTCATTTTAGTCCACCGAGTAATATTAATTCCTGCAGCAGTATATGGCTTGGTTTGGCCATTGGGTTGCAAAGCATTTGATTACACCTTAAGTCTTGCCAATTTAATTAAACTACCATAAAAAAGTAATCGTGTATCTATTCAAATACTAAGGAGGGATGTGTTTATGTAAACTAGACCTGCGACCTTTTCAGTGTAAATATGCAGAGAAACTTTTTAAAGTGGGCTTTGAAAGTTTTCTCAAAGATCTCTTGACACACAGAATTAGGCACAAGCATATATCTTCAGATCCCAAAAGATTGGTCTTGCTTGTGAATTACACTGCTTGCAATTTTGATTCACCTGGATGTAGCCTTGAGATTATACCTTGAGGAGCTAGTCCTAGCTGAGGTACCATAGGAGCCAAAAACCCACAACATAAATGTATGCCTGCACTGTGTTTTCTTAGGAGCTTTCAAATTCTGAAGAGCATCACTTGACAGTACAGACAGCTTGCCAACATGTCAGTGTTCAAAATATTTTGGGCTTTATAACTCAAGACAGTTCATAAAACTTTACCTGCAGACAAAATCTGGAACACTATTCAGAGGAGAACATTACTATTTTTTACACAGCACAGCACAAAATTAATTGCTGTTATTTTAAATTAGATGATGCTTTAAAGTAGTCTTCAGGATCACTTACAGCAGAAGCACATATCCATTTTGGAATTGGCCAAACTATGAGTCATGGCAAAAGCAGTCCCCTTGCCCACATTAAATTCTGGCTGCCTGTCAGCTGAGTGTCAGCTCTTCTCTATAAACATTCTTGTCCCTGTATAGCTCTTTAATAGGTATGTGCAAATGAAGCCTAATATCCATATTGGGGTGCTAAAGTTAATTTTTTCTGAGCTTATTTTCTCAAACCCACAGTTTTTGACAATCAGGTATTTATTTATTCACTACATTTGCAACAGTTTACTAGAAAAGCATAAAAAAAATTACTAAGTATAAATATACACATTACATTAAAGTGCATTAACAAGAAACAAAATGTCATCTCACACAAAATTAATTGCTTCCCATAATCCTATAGACGAGTGTGGCAAAGAGACACAGACACACTACATAAGTCAATACTTACATGTTGTAACATGTAAGAGTTTGCATTCTGAAATTCTTCCTTTTATAATTGTCTACCAAACTAAACATTTTCTTGGGGATGTGCCAATGGGGCATATATGAATTTTGCTTTTTCATTTTGAAGATTGGTTGCTTGATTAGGGGAATGTTCTAATTTATTTTTAAAGAATGATTCTACGTTGCCTAATACCCGTTTGTGTAGATGGAATTTAATATTAGCACAAAATCTCTCCAGTCCTTTACATCATACCTTCATACCATCCCTCTCAAGTCTTAACTTTAGGGAACGGGCTTATTTTGAAACAGCTGCATTACTTTAAGACTTCTAGTTCTGCTGAGGTCTTCTAGGCTCCAAATGGGTACAAAATATTTAATTTAGAATTTTCAAAAAAGCAAACTAATCTTTGTATAGGAGGAAGAAAATAATTTTAACTCTGCTCACTGTCTAATAAATGGGCAAACTGTCTGTAATCTACTCCTGTGGGTATTTTGCGTGTTTACGTATATATTTTTATTCATGTATGTATGTATATACACACGTATGTACATATGTATGTGCAAACACACGTATTCTTTTTTATCTAGTCTCTGTGTATTACTGGCATTTATGCACATTTCATCTCCTTGCATCAGGCCCTTACTTTCCTAAGACCCATTACATAATCAATCATACAATACTTTGCCAATAAATCCTATAGTACACAATTTATAGAATGTGTGAAGATCCAAAATGCTTTAAAAATTTTGCTAGCCTGCGGGGTAAAAGACTATTCACTACTTTCAGAGAAAGAATCTTGGAAAACTGTTTTGGTTTTTTGATTGTTTACTTTCCAGACTTCTTAGATATATTCATGATCTGTGTGTCGAAAGAAATTATATATGTTTCAATAGTGTATGATGTAGGAGTAAACTATAATCTTGGAATGCTTTGCAACTTGGTTGCATAATTATCTACATTCCCTTCCTTTTCCCTTTTTTCAAATCACAAAATTTTAATCAGGTGAAGGTGGAACAAAGGTTCATCTGGGTAGATGTTGCATGAAACTGTTCTGCCTGTGACCCTGAGCAATCAGTGTCTCCTTAGCAATGCTTTATGGCTTCGATGGGTACATCCTCAAAATATGTGGATGAGCACATCTCGCAGACCACTCTTAAGGGCATCTCAGTGGTATTGAGATTAAAGAAATAGAGTAGCAAATTATCTGGAAGAATTTTAAATCAGTTCCTTGCTTTTAAATATACAAAATACTTTTTTTAAAATATTTATTAATCTATTTAAATATTTACAGTAAGCAGAGTTAAATTAAAAAGGAGCCTGGCTGGACAGTGCTGGGAACCTAAGGATTAGATGCTTGTGGGGTTTAGTTTTGGTTGGTTTTGAGTTTTTAACACACTGGGGTAGAAGGAGAGAGATCTATAAAATAGGAGATGTATTGACATGGCCACAAAGGGTTATTGGAGCAGCTGGGTACATGCTTCAGCCCAGTCTAGTGTAATGGCCAGCAGGTGTTCAGCCTGGATATCTGGCATGGAGGTTTCCTTCCCATCAGTTTAACGATTCTCTTTCCAAGAAGATAAAGGCAGCTGAACAGAAGGAGGACTGGAGGGCTAGCACACACTTCGGTGTTACCTTGAGTGGAACTGAATGGGAGCAAGGAGCTTAACTGGCTCTAAAACTCTGAAGTATTCTCAAGCCTGCCACTTTGGATGTTGCTAAGAGAGCTACATTAGGAGTTTCTCACCTTTGTATTGATGCTTCTTGCAATTAATTAAAATAATAAAAGATTTTACACTGATAATATGTTTTTTCAAACTGCTTAGTGAATTAAATTCTAACCCTTTTTTTCCTCACAGTCTATAAAGGAGTCCTTTGATTTGACCACTGCCATTCAGTAAGCATCTCCTGCTGTCATAAATACGGCAAGCCATTGGTAGGCCTGTGCTGAAAACAGCACAAGAGCATTGGCAGTCCCAGTCAATGGGATTGGTCTTTGAGTGAAAGAAAATAACTTGTATTGGCAAATGAGGCCTTTCTATTAACACCAGTTTTGCTTACAAGATGATTTATGGTTTCTTGTTGAACCGTGTCTCCTTGTCTTCCTAACTTCTTTTTCTGTCTCAAATCACATAAAATTGCAACATAAAATTTTTTCCAGCTTAACTGTAGAAGTATTATGTATGGAAAATGAAACATAGTCTGGAAAGTCAGTATGATAAGCACAAATGACATTCTGTCACCTATAAAGCAGTCTGGACAATTTGCAGAATAACCATTTCATTCTATGATAACTGCATAGCATTATCTAGCAAAGAAATCCAGTGATCAAAGCACACAGTAAGTCAAAAATGGCTGTCTGAGAATCTGAATTCACCTTTGGAAAGGTTTTTAGTTTCTGCTTTACAGACAGGGAACTCCAATCTGAAAGCTGTATCAGGCTTTCATGTATCATCTGAAGCAGCCTCCAAGGATATAACAAATTACTCTGTGGATTCCGTTTTTCTTTTGCCTTCTGGAGCTATCAGTGTTGTGCTTCAAGTACCAATTTAGTCTTTAGCAAACTGGAGCTAAGTTCAGTAAGCAAGCTGTTACAACGGGGAAATACCATTCACTACAATTGCTGCCACTAAATTAATAAGACTTTAAAATAATGCACTACATAGGATGTAGAACCAGTTTATTCTATGTAGCATTCATTTCTTTTTAAAGTTATATTTCTAACCTTCCGATTTCTGTGCAAGGTTGTCCTAACAATGCAAAACCATTTTGAAGAAACTTCCAAAATGGAAGTTGGTATCATTCGTTAGAGAATGGTTCATGGTTTTGGCACTTTGTTTCCGTTCGAAATTTTAAGTGGATACCGAGTTGTAAGGGATTAGGGTCTTTCAATTTTCAGTTATTAAGCAGAACAATTTTGGCACCTGAAAGCCAGTATTCCTTTGCTACTACTAAGGAAATTGAATCTGTTACATTTGGTCTGTTTTGAAGATTGTTACTGCAGTTACAAAGCCTATTCAGTTTTTTATGAGCAGATTTGAGAGATGAGATGCAGTAGCATGATTTTATATTTTAAAAAATTACATTTCTTGAGTGGTTTTGGGTGGGAAAAAAAATACAATGCCTTTCTTTTGCCTTCCTTTTCTATTCAGTACCATGCCATCATAAAAATTATCAACAGTTCTATCATGTTTCCTCAAACAGCAAGAATGGCACTTTGAACTTCCATAGATTAAGCTGGGGGGTAGGGAAGTGGGATAAATGGGGTAGAAAAAAACCTCAAAACTAGACATATTAAAACCTTTCCATGATGCTAACATTGCATTTTATGGATGACTAACATGTTTCAAAGTAGTTCAGTCTCTTCCCACAGTCTACCCATTCTGTAAGTCATCCAGAAACTTGCACCATCATTTCTTTTCTATGCAAAATGGACACTTTTTCAGACTATTCTACTAATCATCTTGTCCAGCTTACTTGTAATATTTTTCAATGCTGTAGGGAAATTTTACTGAAAACAGTGCATGGAATTGTGGACTAATTTTGTTTCCTCAAGGTCTGTCAGGATCCATTCTGCTGTTTGGGTTTTTTTTAGTACTATCTCAGAATACCACTTGTGTGATCTGCTGAGGACACTGTCTGTAATGTGCCTTTCCAAAAACAGGATTTCCAGGTGATTATTGCAAAGGTTACAGGTTTAGGCAGAAATGCATTTACATAAATCAAAGTTACAGATCTTATCAAAATTAAATTAGGGCTGAGCCAATTATCTAAAAAAAATATCTAAAAAGGTAAGAAATTCTAAAACCTAATGGAGACCTTTAAGTTCCTGAGATTTTTATCCATCTCAAACTCTTTTCCCTTCACAGAGAACGTAGGGAAATTATATTTAGCCACACAACACAGCAATTTCATCAATATTGTCTGAAAACATACATATAATTCCACTTTTCTGAAAATATGCTTTTCCTGTATCTTCCAAGTGAGCAGTTTCTGGTGATGCATAGCAAGAGCCTACTTGTGTTCATAAAAGCTTTTTTAGTTTACATAAAATACATAACCACAATGTTCCACCTTTTACCAATAAAGCTATTTTTCCGGTAAGATGTTGTCTAGCTAATCAGCTTCCAAAGAGACCTGATGAGCTGACTAGCCCCAAGTTACTAAAGCAGATGGCCCAGCCCTAAACTATTTCTGTTTCTAAAATAAATAGCGTTGGAAATCTTTCTTTTCTAAACACTTCTCAGTTCCTTGTTATGCTCATACACATGTTTCTGGGTTAGTTACAACTTCGCCGTTTTTTTCAGGCTCATCTTTCAGAAACTGCTCCACTTCAATAGAGTCCACTTTGGCATCTTCAGGAGTTTTGTTTTCACATTTGTTTAATTCCTCTCTTTCTGCTGCTTCTTCTTTTGTATGTGGTTCTTCTGATTTTTTCTTAATGCAGAAGAAATTTCCCAAGGCCAATACAAGGGCTGAGGTGGTAACTTCAATTCCAGCAATAATGAAAACAAACATGTACCTCCCCGTTGCATCCAGGAGTTTTCCTGAAAAAGGCAACATTCCAGGTAATTAACAAAAGTGATTATCTTGCAGTGAATATTTTTCTGATTTTTAAAGCATTTTGACTCTCCTGTCTAGAATCACCATGACTACCTAACAAGATTTTTTGAAATAGGATTAAAACAAGTTTATAACAAAATATTTCTCAATTATTTCGGTTCAGTTTAACAGTCACTTACACTACATGAGATATCAAAACACATAGTCTGCTGCACACAGAGGCATGCAGTTCATCTGAAATAAAACCAGCCTCGCCTTCAGATGCGAAAGATCAAACAGATGCTTTGTATTTCAGATAAAAATATGTGCATCCATGGATGGTATCTGTGTCATCTGTGTCATGATCTGATCATCATTATCCTCTTGCTCCCAATTTCATTTACCTTTCTACACGGGTAGTGGACTGCCTGCTTAAAATGAAAATGTTATTCAATAGTCAGTCTGGAGTAACTGACTGATTCTGACACTGGAAAAGGTAAATTTTTACAGGATGCGGTGGATGTGAAAGAACAGGTGGGAGGATATGAAGGAAGTGCCTCTCCAAACCTGAAGCTTGGAGGAAGTGGTGCATAATACTGGTTTTCCCATGAGGGGGGTTTTGTTAAAATAAAAATACTTGTCTGGTATAAGCAGTAAACATTCTATAGCAGTGACCTGGTGGGTTTTGGGAGGGAAAGTGTGTTTCAGTTCAGGGTCTGTAAAATGTATGTTCTTTGATTGGTAATTAATTTGTGTTTTGACTTCAAATTAATGAATTTTACTATTTTGTCATGTCCCCTTATTCTTGGGTTGTAAGACGTGCAATAGAAGCACTCCACCTTCCTTAAATCAGTCTGGTTTTATAGGCCTCCTTGTAGGATTTTATTTCGTCCTTCAGATGTTTTCTTTCCTCCTCCAAATCTACCATGGATATAGAGAATGTATCCTAATATTTCCCAAAGAAAATTGACAGGTTTCATATTCTGAATCCCAGTCAGCTATCTACCAATAAGAAGATCAGTGCAGGGTTTCAGAAAGAAATAGCAGCATCTCGAGATGGCAGTTTAACCAATCCTGAAATAGACCCAAGAAGGAAACGGGTTATTCCATCCCTTCTTGGAGTATTTCAGAGTGCAATTGCAGAAAGCCTTCGAAAGATGTGCAACACTAGCACAATCTGCACTTCTTGAGTGACTCGCATCTTTTTCTCAGCTCCCTTATATTTTGTGTAAATGAATGCAATGCACACAATCAGCATACTTGCCTGCTGATGGTGGGCCAATCAGAACAGCCATAGCTTCTGCCAGGAGCACTAAACCGATAGCACTGGAAAACTTCTGCGTACCAACGATAGCCATGAGAACTTCAAACTGAAGAGCACCTACCATTCCATAAGAAATGCCAAAGAAAATGCAAAAGACCACCAGTCCACCATAATCAACAGACATAGAGCCCATGAGATCTGTAAAACCATTAAAAATCATAGCAAAACTGAAGAGGTAGACACAGCGTGGTCTAACCCATTTAAGACCAGCTACCATTCCACAGATTGGGCGAGCAAAGATATCAATGAATCCCAGAATAGTCAGAAGAAAAGCTGCTTTGGTGTCTTGATACCCTAAATCCTTGGCATAACTCACAACAAACACTGGAGGAACAAAGAGGCCAAGCACCATGATAGATGCTGCTAGTGTATAGATTACAAAACCACCGTCTTTAAACACACTGAAATCCAGAAGTTTTTTCTTCACTTTCTTCTCAGCTGGCTCTTTGGTAGCTTCAGCCTTTTTGGGTGGCTCCAAAGGTCTCATTAGTGCTCCGCATACACAGCAGTTGAGCAGCATCCCGCCCAGGATAAGGAATCCTCCTCTCCAACCGTACTCATGCTGTAATATCTGCCCCAATGGTGAGAGAGCACAAAGAAACACTGGACTCCCAGCAGCAGATAGCCCATTGGCTAAGGGCCGGCGTTTGTCAAAGTAACGGTTTAACATGATGAGTGAAGGCTGAAAGTTTAGTGCCAAACCCAAACCTGTAGTAGAGGGTACATAACAATTAATACTGGCCTACAATATCATTGTTAAAGATATTCTAATTACAGTTTTTCTGACTCATGACTTAAGAGAAAATAGTTTTGTTCCAAATGGACAGAAGAATCCTAAGATAACACAAAGTATTTTACCCCCATAGTATTATTGTACTTTATGATTACACTTCATGCTAATAACAAAAATAAATGACCTTTTAATTCCACATTTATCTGCCATCTTTATAAAAGTCCAGTTGGGTGATCCTTATGCTTCGGGTATTTTTCACTTAAACAAAACTTCAGCCTAAAGCTAAGATATAAGTGAACTCATTTTCAGCATAGTACTTACCAGTAATCACACCTGCAGTTAGATAGATCTGAACGATGCTTGTGCAGAAGGAAGCTATCACCATCCCCATTGAAGCAAAAAGGCCACCCACCAGCATGACAGGGCGACAACCAAAGCGATTGACACATACGCTACAAAGTGGACCTAGGCAAGAAAAGCAAATTACAGTTGCTACAATAAACCAACTTTTACAACTGATTTTCTGATACTTTGTATTTCTTTGGTGGACTTCAAAGTGCAACGTTCATAGTAGGAATCAATGATCTTAAAGGTCTAAGGTCTTTCCAACTTCAGTGATTCTGACTTGTTTTGTACTTTGTCCATAAAGTCAGGCCAATCAGGAAAAATGTCCTTCCCTCTGTAGTCAAATACTTTTGTAGTCAAATACTTTTGACTATTTGTAGTCAATATTTTTTGTCTTCATAGTGCCTTGTGATTTTTCTTTTTCATCATCCTTAGCAGCTACTGACTTACAAAGACATAATTTTAAATAAACTGAATGGGCTTAAAAAATCTTCTGATTTATGTGATTATTAGTAATTCTTCCTTGGAATGCCTTATTTGCACACAACTAATGATATGCAGTCATGATACAGACTGTCAACGGCTGTAAGATTTACAAACTTAATTGTATGACAATAATAATTGTAATAACAATAATTGTAATAAAAAATTGTAATAACAATACTGTTTCAAAACCAGATAACTACTCACCTGTTCCATAAAGCATGGCCAACAGAATGGAGGAAATCCATGCAGTGTCGCTATATCCAATGCCAAATTCCCGGATAAGTTCTTTAAAGAAGACACTAACTGCCTTAGGAAAGGCATAGGAGAATCCTGTGATGATAAAACAGCCAAAAAGGACAGCCCAGCCCCAGCCTCCATCAGGGGCTTTAACACCTGAGGGACCATCATCAGCTACTACAGCTCCCATGATGAAGAAGCTTGTGTGTTCCCTAAGAAACAAAAAGCAATTAGTATCTGTAAAATTGCACTACCATTTAAACTAAGGCTTGGAATTATTTTTAAAAAACAGTCTTGTAAATGCAGTGCAATTTTAACTATTTCTTGTTTAGGTTTTTACAAAGCTTGCAAAAGCACATGAAAATGAGATGCACGCAGCTGAGTTTTAAATGAATGGCCCTGCACAGCTCTCAGAGTCAAAGCTGGATTTCATCCAAAGCACTGCTTCATCAAAAAACTGAAGCCGTAACAGCATTTCAGGGGTGTATCTGACTTTCACAAATATGTAATAATTACTGCATTAAAGTCTGCAAGATATTTTATATAAGACTTTTTTACATGAAGCTCCTGGCCTATTCACTTAGGAGACCTGTTGCATCACAAATGCTCTGTGAAATGGAGGACTAATCACCCAGATTTTTTGTTCCCCACTGAGGAGAGCTGTACAGCCCTGATACCCTATTATCTTGAAAAGATAGAAAGGTCCCCTTGAGATGATGATGAGCTATCATTTTTCACACATCAAGTTCAAATGATAAACTGCAGTGAAAATCCCCAAGAGCCATTTTTGTGGATGCTGGGAGTTAGTAACTGAAGCAATGCTCAGTACAGCTGCCTGCCTGACACAAATATTTGCCATTGTTGTTACTACATGATCAGTAAGTAAAAGTAATATTTGATGAATCTTGGCTCAAATGTGTAAAGAACAGGAATAAGATGTAAAGTTGAAGCACTTCAGGGAGTATTGTCACTCGCGCTACTTCCAAGTTGTCCGAATATTTCATTTGAAGTGAAGGTTGAAAATATTGGGGGAAGGGTTGGGCAGTTTTCCTTCATTTCCATTACCCGTCTAATAGCAGCACAAAGTTAGTAATAATACATGAACACGCTTTGTTGAAATACAGCAACTGGCAATCTCTCCAGACTGCTTATACAGTGCTGGGTGGGGATATTCAGTGCCTTACAGCATTCGCCTCTGGGCACAGGCTGGGACTGTCTCCTTTACTGCGTCTACAGCAAAGTTGTTTTAAGGGCAGCCTCTGCAGACCTAACAGGGCTGAACCCCGATAGCAAACTACATCCATGCCATATGAAGCGGCGAGTGGCTTTGAGAAGAAACACCGTTAAGAACTATTTGGCAGCACGCTTCTTCCTTTCAGCAGAGAACTGTCCAAGATTTTCAGGGGGAGAGAAGTCAACTCGGCACGCAGCGCAGCGAGCCTGGTGCGGCCGCGGTTCGGAGGAAGAGCCGGCTCCCCGCGCCGCACTCCGACCCTCGGGCAGAGGCTGCCGGAGCCGCCCCGCCCGCGCCCCCGCCTGACCCGCGCGGTGATGCCCCAGCGGGGCGCGCGCGGCCGCCGCACTGAGACGTGCGGGACGTGACTCCCGGGCCGGGGGCGGGCGCTGCCCGCCAGTTGCGCGCGCGGCCCGGGCGGAGCCGGGGCCGCACCCCCGCCCAGCGCTCGCAACCGCCGTTGCCGGAGCCCGGTGCTCTCACAGGAGAGGGAAATATCCTCCTTCCTGGCCGTTCTTGAGCTCTTCCATGCCCAGCAGAGCAAGTCAGCCTGAAGGAGACACATTCTGATGCACCTGCCTTACGGAGCTTACCATCTTTGCCATGAGGAGCAGTCTCTAAAACGGTTTTATGTTTTGCTGTGATGAAAGAGCAAAAGAGTTGCTGATGAGGGAGCTTGCTGATGTGAGGGAACCTGGCCTACTTTCCAGCATTTCATAAAAAAAGGTCTACAGGGGAACACACAGTAATATCCATTTACTCTTTACATCACGACTACTACCACATTTGGCTAAAAATCACCATAAGCCAGCACACCAGATCTTCAGGCACCATCCTTTCAAGAGTGGTTCGCATTTGCACACACATGCCTCAAAAACAGCTCTCTTAAAGGGAAGGGCTGAGAGAACTTGGATGGTTCAGCATGCAGAAGAGGATGCTCTGGGGAAGCCTTATTGCACCTTTCCAGTGTCTGAAGTGGCTACAAGAAGGCTGGAGAGGGACTTGTTACAAGGGCATGCCGTGATTGAACAAGGGGGAATGACTTCAAACTGACAGTAGATTTAGATTAGGTATTAGGAAGAAATTCTTTAGTCTGAGGGTGATGGGGCCCTGGTTGCCCAGAGAAGCTGTGGCCGTCTCATCCCTGGAAGAGTTCCAGGCCTGGTTAGACAGGGTTTGGAGCCGTGTGGCCTGATGGAAGGTGTTCATGCCCACAGCAGCGGGTTGGAATGAGATTAAAGTTTCTTCCAACCCAAACTACTCTATGATTCTACAATCAATGTTATTCGTCTGGTTTTGTCCATTGGTTATTCATGTTAACACATCAAAATAAAAAGACCATTAACCAGAACTAAATGAACCCTGTCTCCATAAACACAGCAAGAATGTACTTCATCCTGTTGTGGTGTACCTTACTAGGCTGGGCTGCATTTACCTCCTTAAGAGGTGAATAATAAATAATAAGGAAGTAGTGCAAAATGTATAAACGAGGGGTACCACCTTTAGAAAAGGCAGGCTTCTGGTTGATCTGCACTGGCGAAATTTTTACTTAGGATTTCACTACAGTGCTGGGATGCCATCAAAGCCTGCTAAGATAGAAGGCTACTGCCTAACTATTGCAACAGCTTGTTTTGCTTTCTGCTTTTGCCAGCTCAGCCCTATTTAGAGGCAAAGGATTACATTTAACTGGCTGCAGCTCAGTTTCATATCTCCACAACAGACATAACAGTATTGTCAGTATTTGTTCCAGATTCCTTCTATCATGAATGGATTCTTGCTTTGGTAATGTGCAAAACAAAGGTAGCATCTGGGGTTTCATCTTCCTGATATTATCTTCTTGTTGTCATGGAAACTAATACAGACTCAGTTAGGAGGAAATATTAGGTAGCATTGTGGGTGGTGTGATGGTGTGGTTTCTGGGATGACGTATTATAAAAAGGAGCAGCTAGAAAAGGCAAGAATCTATTATTTGTGTTTAGCCACTACTCTTATTGGCAACATAGCTGTACTTCATGGTCAGCAGTATGGGTAGGAAGGACACTTATGAGCATGTACACTGACTTATATAGCTTGAGAACTTCATGTTCTCAAGAAGAATTAATTTCAGGAATTTTCAAGAATAATTAATTTATTCTAACTACAGCTGAAATCTACACAACCTTGACTTTCTATGATACAAATAAGAGATGGTTATCAAAAATAGAACATAAGCCTCCGAGTAGGGAACCCAGTTCAGCCTAGACTTCAGTCTGGAGCCACGCCCAGGTGAGATTTGTATAACTACAAAATAAGGAAGATGGTATAAGCTGAGTAATGTAGACATCCTCCTTCAGTTTTTCATATCTGTGAACAAAGAAAATAATTTCTCTCTTCATAGGGTGTTGGAAGTATGAATATCTTGAAAAGCATAGGCTGCTTAATGTTGTGCTAATAGGAATTATAAACCTCCTGTATTTGCCCAAAGGTATTAAAATCTAACTAAACAAAATATGCATGTTATTGTTGATTTTAAGGATTCCTAAGACTAACCAACTCTACTGAAATTTTTCAGGAAATGATTCCTGAAAAAAAGTGTTTATTTTAATATTCTCCAGATGCTTATGATAGCCCTCTACATATAGAACAACTACCCTTTGTATTGACATCACTGACATTTGCCTATTCAGCATGACTTTAACTCCTTCCTGCTTCTCCAAAGTACAAATGCATAAATCTTTAAATCAGATTTTATTACAACTCAGGTAACTCATAGTAGCCATTTAAATGGGCCACTGGTATAACCCACTAGTGCATTTCCTGTGGCTTACCTGCTTAAATATTAGCCAGTAGAATTCTATGTTCATTCCAAAGGCTGTTCCCTACAAAATCATTACCATATTTATCAGTGCCTATTTTGACCTCCTGTCCTCCTTGCAAGGCCCCACAGTGACTGCCACTGTCCCATTTTGGCCTCCTCCATTTCAAATGAGACAATGCTGTCTTTCTTAAGGGTTTGCCAGTTTTCCCCATTCTCTCATCTCCCTCTTAGAACTCCTAGAATAATTCTGTGCTGTCTGCAGCTGCAAGTGATGTTCCATACCAAATCTTGACTATTAATTATTCTCCAGTCCCCATTTAGCCTCAAAACAGCTGTTCACTGCTGCTGCACAGTGAGTAACATTCATCACAAGTTATTAGCAGACCTCAATGACAGTAAATTCACACTGCAATTTTATGTGTAGCAGATAATGATAACAAGTTTAAATTCTATTAGCTGGGTAAAGTGCTCTATAGGGAAAGTTGTGATTATTTATTTGCTTGTCCTATTTTATATCATGAAAAGTTGCAGAATCCCAACTTCACTTAAGAACAACTTACAATTAATTTTCATGCATCATGAAAATTAATTTCAGCTCTGTGGCTGTGATGGCTTTGCAAAATGTTGAAGCTTTAGAAAAACATAAATGCTTGACAATTGCTTATAGTGAAGAAGTGTCCTTATATTGTTTAGTATAAATCCAAAAAGTGACAGAGATAGATAAAAACTAATTAAGGGTCGAGTCCTGTCACCAGCTGAGCATCTCTGCTTATTTTTGCAGACTATAATGGAACTACCTTTATATAAAAAGTGCTCACATGCACATGCGCTGTATCGCAAGCTAGGTGAGCACTGGTAGCTGAATGTAGTGAGAAAAGATAATCTGGCTCAGAGATTTTACACTTTGGACAGTGTATTTTCATAATAGGGTGTCACACATTGAGATATGTGAATTGCCACCTTCAGTCACAATTTAAAATGCCACCTTTTTATTTCTATAATATACCTTGAGTTATACTTCTGACTGAACCACAGAAGGTGTACTGTACTAATAGATTCTGATTTACATTTTAAAACCGCTGCCACACTGCTTCCTCTGAAATAAACACTGCAAAACCATACATGGCTTTACTCTATGACATCCTAAATTGAACGGATTGCCCAAGAGGAGTGCATTTCCACTAATGCTAACGGTCTGCCCCTGTGAGGAAGCTGAATTACTGAAATTCAACTCCACCTTTTTGTGCTTTTTCTTCTCTCCACAGAATTGCTTAGAAGGCAAACCGCAGACCCCTTCAGGTGGATTGCGAGCAGCATCAAAACAAGGCTCTTTCCCAAGAGATGGAGGGGCTTCGGCGGCCGCCGCGCGGGAGGGGCCGTGGGGGAGAGGGCTTGGGAATACAATGGTGGCGGTCGCGGCGTCGCCACGGCCACGACCGCTCGCGCGGCGCTCCGGGGCGGGCACGTAGCCCGCGCAGCCCTCAGCCGAGGCGGCTCCCGGGGAACGCTTGGGTCGCCGCCGCAGCCAATGCTCACGCAGACCGGGGAGACGCCGCGCGATTCCGCGCCCGGGTGCCCCACCGTTCTTAGTGTGCTCGCTGAACCGAGTAACGGGGCTCCTGCCTGGGGCTGAGACGATGTCCTTATGAGGGAACAGTCCCTCACACTGCTCGTCACTCGCTCTGACGGACCTGAACGGTCACCGCTATGACAAAAAATTCCGAAATTCACCTCCGAGGGCTCTACACTGAAACAGGAGCTGAGCAGTAGCGAAGGGACAGCGGAGGCGAGAGACCCTCGTCCCCCAGTAACGGTGTGAAGCCACGAATGGCGGAAACAAAGCCCGAGCTCGCGGGCGTCCCACGAGCCACCGGTGTGGCACTGTACGTGCCCTCGGGCCGGCGGCACTACGCGCCTAGGCGTGACCCGGCTGCCAGAGGGGAAGCCGGGGGCCACGCTCTCTCGTAGCAGGCGGAGTGGTGCCCGGTGGCCAGCACCGCTCAGCGCCCGGACAGCGCTTTCAGGCTGGTGGCGCTGAGGACGTTGGGCGACCCATACGGCAACGCGGGTTTCCCGACGAAGAGCTGAGCCCGCGTGGCCCCACGAGCGAGGAGAAACGCAGCCAGTGGGACGACGCCGCGCCGACTCCCGTGGTGTGGTGCCAAGGGGTGCGAGAACAGTCGGCGTCGTGCCCACGTCCCCACCGGCGCCCAGCGTAGCCTCTGGGCAAAGGATGAACCCGTGACTCTTACGCCGCGCTTTGCCCAAAGCTTGGGCGGCGCAAGGGCTCATCCGCCGGCCCAGAGACCCCCACGCAGAGAAGCGCCCTCGGTCAGGTCGGCGCTCCGGGTTCGGCTCACCCGGCTCCGGACCCCCCACTCCGCGCTCCCCGCGGCGTTCGTCCGCGTGCCCCGGCAAGGACTCCGCAGCATCGCGCACGACGGCCCCGCCTCAGTACCTGAGTCACGTCCCGCGTCTCGGCGCGGGGATGCCCGTGCTGGCGCCGGACCGCAGCCCGCTGTGCCCGTGTGCCCGCGCAGAGCCGCACGGCCCGTCTGCTCCCGGCCTGGGGAGCGCTCCCGCGCGGCGGCTCTGGGGCTGCTCGCCCCGCCCTCCACGCGGGGCGTGCCCTGGGTCCTATCGCCGCCGCGGCGACTCCCCCTCCGCTACAGGTTCTTCGGGGCCCGGGCCCCGGCCGCGCGCAGCGCGACTCCACCGGCGCCGGCTCCGAGCGGGGCGCCGGCGCCTCATAAGGCATCAGCACGAGCTTTGCGCTGCTTGCGTACAGTGCAACGCGGGGCTGGACCCAGCCGGCACGAATGCTGCGCTGGCTGTCCGGAGGAAGAGGACCTGAGCAGTGGACTTCAACTTATGAATGGATTTCTGCTGTTGAGGTTTGTTCTGTGCTGCCGTTTCTGTTTTATCGGGAGCGATCAGTTTCCTCATTGTCTCCTCCCACGAGAATTACTCCTACGAGCTTCCTTGCTTAGTTGTTTTCTTCTTAGAAATTTGAGTGTGATATTCTGTATATTGTATATTGAATATTCTGATATTGAGTGTGCATTCTGTAGACAACCGTTAGGCTTCCCTCCTCATCCTTTACCAAGGGAGTAAATATTATACTACTCCCTGCAAATACGGTTTCATAACATACTCCTCCTTTTACATCTGGATGGAATGAGCTTTCTGCATTAATCTCTTGGGACTCAGCTGGGATTCCTACAAACGTTTGATTATAAAACTGGTGTGTTGATCTATGAAAGTTGTGGTGGGATTCTTAAAGGCACCGAAAGTAGCACTCCTATGGATACCTGGGGCTTAGGAAATTCAGGAGTAGGTGACTCCATTCTTTTGTGTGCTTCTAGCACACAATCCAATATATACGGGAGTGACACCACACCTTAAATCCTGTGTTTGGTTTTCACTCCCTCACAACAAGACAAACATTGAGGGGCTGGAACATGGCCAGAGAAGGGCAACAGAGCTAGGGAAGGGTCTAGAGCACGAGTCTGATGGACACTAGCTGAGGGAGCAGGAGAGACTCAGCCTGGAGAAAAGGAGGCTCAGGGGACCTTATCACTCTCTACAGCTACCTGAAAGGAGATTGTACCAAGGCAGGCATCTGTCTCTTCTCCCAGGTAACAAGTGATAGAACAAGAGGAAATGGCCTCAAGTTGTGCTGGAGGAGCTTTAGATTAGATATTGGAAAAAATCTCTTCTCCAAACAGGTTGCCAAGCATTGGAATGGCATGTCCAGGGAAGTCATGGAGACACCATCCCTGGAGGTTAACAGCTGAACTCAACGATCTTGGGGAAAAAAATTTCTAAATTATTCTATGATTCCTATAACCTATGTGGAGTTACACATAGGGGTAGGATTCTAAGTAGAAGAGGACAAGTAGGATACAATATTGTCTTTCGAGAACTAGGATATCGCACAGATTAGTAGCTTCCAATGTAAAACCTACTTGCTGAAATCATGTAATACCAAGGCAGGAACTGAAGCTCTTTTAATGACTTAGAAGTTTTTTCTTTCCCTTGCGCATTATGTTTGCATTGGCTATTGGTTCAATTTTGCTGAAGTATAGTACCCATTTGTAAATGCTTAAGGATTCATTGCATTAATGTGTGAAGATGAGCAAGGCCATGTGGTTTATTTTAAGTAGATAACATACAGACAATAAGACTGACACTGCTAATCTTAAAGACTAGTAAAAGTAAAACCAGTTTTTGACTGTCCACTGTTATCTGAATTCAGGCCATTCACTTGCAAACTAGGTGTATTCAGATTTCAACATCAATCCCTGAAATGACATTGTGTAGTCTGTAATCTTTTTTACTCATCATTAAAGTTTGTCTGTTTGGGACACTACTGAATCACTGTAAGTTATCAATTACTCATTTAGGGAACTAACATGCATTTAACTATGTGACTAGGGGCTGATTGAAGGTACATTGGAGAAGATGACAGCTAATTTGAAAGGGGGGGGCAGGGGTGAGGAAGGGTTGAAAAGATAATGTGGTTGATAGGTTAGGCAATGGCTAATATAAGGGTGTAAAGAATGGCAGCAGTCAGAATGGTGTACGGACTTGGACATTTGCCTATTATGTGCTGATTCTGATGAGGGCTCTGAGGGGCCCACTGCACAATATAAATTATGCCGGGACTTGCACTATAATTTTTGTGTGTTCATATATAGAAAATCATTTTAAGCCAGGTTTCACCATTGTATTTTAAACCAGAGGTGATTCATATAAGTAAATTAACTAAATCTCTTTAATAATTGCAGTATTCTGTAACTATAATTTGCTAAATGGAACTTGCTTTATTTCGAAAGTCAAATTGTTAGTTCTGATTCTAATTTTCATTGTTAGTGGTGGAAATAAACCCCTTCTTTCTTTAACTGGCATGGGGCTGGACACACAATTCCCTTCTGATGACATAAGGAAAATTATATAAGAACTACTGATAATGCTCTATCTTCTCTAAATTAGTGTACTTCAGATATCATTTGGGTGCAGCATTCGAGTTTCTGGAAGTTTATATGATCTAGGAAAACAGAAGACTGACACAACATTACAGGAAGTTTGCCTCATGACTTCCAGACAAGCAAGTCATCTAGTGTGACTAAGGGAAAATCATGCTTTAGGCCTGCTGCATGTTACATCTTCCTCTGTCTCACCTAGACAGTGTAAAGCAGTTTAGTTGATGGATACAGTTTTTAATAATTAAGTGCCAAGCTTTTTAAAGTTTTTCTCATGATGCAGTGGGAGTTCAGAGAGGACGGGAAGTTTGTTCATATCTGTTAACGGCTGTACTCTAAGGGGCAAAGAGTCTCCTTCCTGATCTGCGCTAGGGAGAAATTGATTAATAATAAACGGTTCGATAAACAACATGCATAGGAAGACAAGTGAACGAGAGAGTGAGCTCTGAGAGTATGGAACAAGTACTAGCTGCCTTTTGGGAGAAGGGGGTCTTACTAAACGAGACGGGGGCTACAAAGGAGCGTGCCCGCGCTCACACGAAGCAGAGAAGAGGCTGCTGCGTGAGAGTAGTGAGGACGGAACGGGGAGAATGCGAGGAGGAGAGAACACGCTGCCGGCTCCTGGAAGTGAATGCAATACGAGGAACCGAGAAACCGGAGGGGAGGCAGACGGGGGCTGGCACTGCCTCCGTGAGCGAGGGCCGGAGCGGCGGCGGCAGCAGCGGCCCCGCCGCGGCGGCGCCATGGAGACGGGCCCGCCCCCGCGGGGCCCCGCCCGCCGCGGCCCGAGCGGCCTGCGGCCGGGAGCGGAGCCATGCGGAGGTTCGTGCCGTCAGGAGGCCGGTCGCCACTGGGCTTTTCCGTGGGAAGGCAGTGCGGTCGCACGGCATCCCGTTGTGCCGCAGGTTGTCCTTCGGAGCTCCCGATGCGTCGCCTGCGCATCTCGCGCCCTCTTCTCTCTCTGGGCACCCTCTTTCTTTTCTGTACTCTTGCTGCAAAGTGCCCTCTCTTGTGCTGTCCCTGAGTCCAAAGCATTATCTTGTGCTCCTCTCTACTGCCTACATCTAACGGGTTTATCTTCGGCAGTCTGCCTGCCATCTGCTCTTCTGCCTCAGAGCCCTCCATGGAATCCTTCCTTGTGGGCTCTGCTTCCTGGCAGCCAGTTCCCTTGGCAGTGTTGTCTTTTGCCGACACTCGATTGTCTTTTCCTCCCACTGTGCACTTCAAATTTAGTTAATCTTTTTAACTGTGGTAGCTACCTGATCCATTTGGAACAACTGTTGCTGAAAATGTGATACTAAAACAGCAGATCTTTCAGTGTTGCATGTTATAGGCAGGAAGGCAGTACTGTTCATGAATATCCATAATTGTGACTTTTTAAAAAGTCATCTACTTCTTACCCAAATGAAGATGTTACTTACACTAACACTAGCACGGTCGTGGGATTTGAACATTGCCAACAAGAATCAGAATATGAAGAGAAAACACTGTTTTAATTAACTTAGGGATAAATGTGAAATCTTGGCCAGCAGAGTTGAAAGACCATCAGATCATTGTGTCCTTTAGCACCGTCTGTTCCTCAGTATACCTGGGAAGACCAAACTCGAATTTTTTAATACGTCTCACATCCAATGATCAGTGACTCTTTTTTCGATCCTAGAGACCTGGAGTTGTCTAGATTGTTTGTGAAGAAAAATGTTATTTAAATTATGACATCCTTTAGCATAGAGATATTGCGTAGCATTTTCTGATCTGAAAAATCTCTCATTTAAAGAGATTAAAGAGACACTATTTGAAAGGCATGCTTGTCTGATTTGTTTTCTGCATCCCTGTGCTTATTCAGAAGGGATTATCTGCAAGCAGTGACACAGAATAATACGGTACAGTGAGAGAAGCTATATTTCCCCAAATCTCTGGAGAGAGCTGAACAGAAATGACAATTTTTTAAAGCATCCATACTGCTTAAAAATGATGGGTTTTTTCATCTACAGAATTTATAATCAGATAAGAGGCAAATATGGAGAACAAACAACAGGAAGAGGTGGATGTGAAGCAAGTAAAGGGTTTTGCATGTAAAAGCACAGGCTCTTTCTGTTGGTTATTTTCTTTTTAACTAAAAGCAGACAAATGGGACACAGCAGCTAATATTGTTAATGAAAGAGAGGGCTGAACTGTTCCTTGATTCGTCATACAAGTCTCGAAGAAAAGGTAAATATGTGTGCAGCTTGCAGGGTGGAGGGAATAAACACTTATTTCTGTTCTGTCTGCACATAATTCTTGTTTAATGTAATTACTGTCTTCAGAAGTAACAGTCTCTTTGGGGTTATTCTCTGCTTAAAATGGTAATTGTTATAAAATGCTGTAAACTGTACTCAATCCAACTACATTTATAATGTAGAGATGGCTGGCTAAGTTTTAAATAATTTTTTTTATTTACTGTGGGTGATCTGGTCAAGATTCTGGAATTCATCAAAGATTACTAAATGATTGATGTTAATATGGTGCATATGCAAATTCATTTAAAGTCAGTTTAGGAGTTTTACATGGAGCATATCCTTTGGGATTGGAATGAAGAATTTGAGTCTCTTAAATCCAGCAATTGCCTCTTTGCCAGGCTGAGCTGGATACTGATCACAGTACAGCAGTCGTTCTTCTGATCTGCCTTGCCCTTAAGGGTTTGGGGATGAACAAGGGAGGTGCAAAAATGTATGTCTAGACTACACTTCTGATAGAGACAGCACTTCTGATAGACTTGGTTTGTATACATGAGTGCTGGCTATGGGATTCAGAGTACTTCAGGTGAAGTGTAAATTTATTTTAGCAAAATCTAGCAGAATGTGAAAGTGAATATGCATTTAGCTGTTTGTTACTCTCCAGTTTTAGTTCAGAGTTTTGACTCTGTAGGTATTATATGATCAGTCTTATCTAATCTATTGCAACGGTCATTCAGCTACACAAAAACCCTGTAATATAGAGTTGAAAGTAAATAGAAGGTTGCAAAACAGCACGATAGTAATACAGGTTTGTTTGGCTGTGTGACAGGCTGCTGCAAACCTGTTAAGTCTTTAAGGGATTAATGCAGAGCTTTAAAGGTTCAGTGTATCATTAGAGAACTCACTGGTCTTGATAGCAGTATCAGCTCCTCAGATTTGATCCTGACGTTACTGGTATTTTTCCACTGGATCGCAGAGAAACTTTTTTGTTGATAGCAATTAAGAATATTGGGAGAGGAGGGGAAAAGATACAGAGCTGCTTCTATTTTCAAATGTATCTAAAAGATCAGATTTCTGCTGGTCAGCCCTTGTTCTGCAAATTTTTTCTTAACAGAAAATTTTGGGTGGAGGAGGAACTCAGTTATACTGGAGTGGAGATCTTGCACTACTTTTCAGCAGATCCTCTATATTCTGTATGCAACTAACCTTTGGAAGGATTGTTTGGGAAATAACATATACTATTATAATTGGTTTCCACTAACTCACAGGGAAAGATGTTATGGTGCCTGTTTCTTTAGGAAATTACAGCATCCTCAATAGGTACATGTTATTGTTCAAAAAATTTTATACGTGGATCCCTCATGCTTTTTAATGTAAATTTATTTTTGTTAGCTCTAAGAATAGTCATATAGGTCATCTGCTTGAGGATTATGTGAACCTGAAACTTCACATGGAGCAAAAGATTCAAGAACTGGAAGACACTTATGACAGAAATTGCTGTAAGAATGTTGGAAAAGCAATTTTGTGTTGCTGCAGTGCCATCTAGAAATCATTTTTCAGGGTTTTTTTTATTATTAGCATGTTCTGGTTTAACATTGCTATAGTTGTATAAGCTTTTTTTTGGTCTATTGTTTTATCTCTCTAAAAACTGATTACACTTGTAATTACAGTTTAGAAAATTATGCTTTGCTTGTGTAGTAGCTGTTGCTTTGCTTGTTTGACAGCTACCCCTTGTAAGGAATTGCTTAGAATATGTTTAGTAATGTGAGAGTGCATAAGATTATTTTATGTAGTAAGCACGCTGCTAAATTCGTTAACCTTGAAACTACAGGAAAGGTCAGCATCTAGAAAGCAGAGGTAGCCTTAGGCAAGATGAATAAATGTACACTGTTTATCATACTCCTAATTACAAGGTGCTTCCCCCCTGCTTCTCCTTCTTATATTCCTATATTTCACCACAAGAGGATCATCTTACTAACGGTGAAATTTTATCTTTAACTGTGATACCCTAGGGAGGCATTATACCATCTCTTTCTATGTAACAAACTTTAAAGAAAAACAAAACTTTCCTTCTTTGTCTCTGTATAAAAATGCATTTGATATTGGAATTCCTTTTACTAATTTACATATGAATGTGTTTAGTCATTAGACCTAGAACACTTAATTTTCGTCCTGTCAACCAAACCAATATATAATATAAATGGAAGCGGTATTGTTAAGCAATTATGTCTTCCACCCAACACCTGCCAATCCAAGTCTTGCTGCCCTCAGTATAGTAGTCCTGCTTAAATAATGAATCTTCATCCAGGACTCTCTTTCTCATGGGCTTCCTGAAGACAATTTATGAACGTACCTGAAGAAGTGTGAGAACCAGAAGAATATTTGATAACTGGCTTGGAAGTTATGGTGTTTTCTGTGGTTGAGCTGTAATGTTAAAGGTGGTTAGCTGCTGTCCACCAGCGTAAGGCTACATCATCTAATACACATGACTTCTCTTACCACACTGGAGAAGAAAAAAATTATCTCAGTAGTTTATGCTTACAACTAAAGAAGCACCTCTTCCGTCCTTGCCACTGGATCTCCTGCAGTTATTCCCCCTAATCTAACATGACTTTGTATCAAATAGACAAAAAGCCTTGTTATCTCATTCTTTTGTTTTCAGTTGTATTTTATCAGTTTAATTCATCTAAGTAGTTTCTCTCACTTTTAAAAATGCTTTCTCAGTTTAGCCACTGGATGGCAGCTCACTGCAACCATTTAGTTTTCTGGAAAATCCATGGCTTCTTTATGAACAGTTTTTCATACACTTATAAAACATAGGTGTTTTGAGGCAAGAATTTCACATTTGTTCATATCTTTACTGTGGTATCTTTACTGTTGTCTTTAATTTTCATGTTTTGGAGTAACTTGCAATGTTACTTGAGGAGAATTTCACAGTAAATGCACATTCTGTAGTACTGTACTTGAGTTTGAAATGTAAAGTCTTCTAACAACAGGTGATTCTTCCCCAAGACTGACAAACAAACAAAAAATACCCGCAAAACACCCTTAGTTTTTATTCTGCTGAAATCAACAGCTTTTTGCTCTGTGTATCATAGGTCTAAACAACAGCTGTCTCCGGCAGCTGAGCTAGAATGGATTCTGAAACAGAGTAAAACACAAGCAGAACTTAACTGGCAGCAGCTCTGTGAGAATGCTGAATGTAATTGGTATCAGAAATCAGAGGATCCAACACACAGCCTATCTTCATCAAGAGAGGAGGTGAGAATTTCAAATTAACACTGTTTAAGAATCATCTACTGCATAGAGAGCTATGGAGTTTGTCACCATGGTGTTTCTCAGGGAAATATGAGTTTACCTTTCTTTCAAAGACCTGTAAAATTTACAATACAGTATTTCTGTATTGTGTACAGCAATTCATTGCATGTATCAGAAATCAGATTAATTTTCATGAACAATCTCTAATAGTGGCCTTTTCTCCCTTTCCATGTAAGCAAGTTAGCTTGAGAGATATTTTTCCTTTGCCATTGTAGCAAAAGAAGAAAGATGTCTCTTAGAGCAGCCCGAGGGCAGAAAGAATTTCAGATCACAGTACCACTTGAATTCTATCAAGGGATCAATATTAGTTCTGAAAAGCTCTTGGGTATTTTTGTGTGGAAAAAACCACCTATTTTGTGCAGTGTAAAAACTTCAGCTTCTGAAAAATTAAATACATGTTTATTGTTTAGAGACTATTTAGACAATGGTCTAACAATTCTCAATGCCCAGTTGCGCTGAACTCACAGGTACAGAGGAAACACTTGTTTCTGAAGTTCATAATGCTGGCATTTACTCTAGTGTTTTATTTTATCATTGTCTTTCCAGAATTATTCATAGGCATCAACAGCTGTAGCAAGTGAACACATGAGAGAGATAAATCATAATTTTCCATTTTACACGAAGAAGACAGTTATGCTAAATTATTTGTCTGTTAGGGCAGTTTTTGACAGAGACAAAAGGAATGTGCTTAAGTCCCTGTGCTATGTTTTAAAGTATCCTTGATTTCCTTCTTTTTGTTTTAACTTTCCTTTTCCTTTCCCTTTCCAGTCCTTACCTTTCCTTTTTTTTATCCCTTTGTCCTTGAGCTACTGACATCCTCTGCCTCCCCTCCATTCCTTCTGTCCCAGGTTCAAGGTGATCTACAGAAAACAGACTACAGGTTGCATGAAGTGAAGAGTGTTCTTTCTGCTTTTACTGTTGAGAGAGAACAGACAATACAAGCATCGTTTAATCACAGTATTTCACCTGAAGGGGAGAAACAGGTTAGACAACACTTAGTGTAGACATGGATGAATTCATTCTAAGATAACAATATTATGGGCCTTGTTTCCACTGAACTTACTGTAGGCAGTTCATCTGTTCCATATGTTTCATTCAAAATATAGCCATATCTGTCCTGGAAAACACATAGATTGGGTGCCATGGGATTAATTATGACTCTCATTCATTACTCACTAGCAAAAGGAGCAAGCTGAATATAGACAGCTGCTCCAAAATGTGACAACATACTGTACCACCGTGGCAATCGAGTGGGAAGAATGAATTTCTGGAACCTCATTCCTGAGGTTCTGTGCAGTTCAGGGTAGATTTTAAAGTTTAAAAGTTAAAATTTTAAGGCAATGTTTCAAAATACTAGTATGCCAGCCGTTTAAAATATTTTAATGTTTTGTATTTGAGTATCACTAGCTAGTTTTCCTTTCATTGCTGCCTCTTAAATTGCTTATATTTTAAAAAGCCATTCAAAGTTGTAAATGTAATGCTGCTTTGAAGTCATGCTGAAGGATAATGCATTAATAGTAGAAAACTGCCTTTGGTAAGAGTGAAAGCAAAGTGTATGCTGCAGTGCACTCTACTGGGTGGCTACAGGTGCTCAACAGTGACCAGTTCAGAGCATGTTACCAGAGCTTGCTAAGAAAAAGCAGTTTTGGTTTTGTTTGGTTGGTTTTTGTTTTTTCCCCGGGAATTTTCTTCCCATTTGTTGTCAGGGAGATGGTGAATGGACAGCGATCCAGAGACAAAAGACGTGGCCTTGGCATACCATTGTAATGGTTCCGGGGGAGTGGGAGAAGCGGGGGGAGGGTGCAGACATATTCTGGTAGTTTCTTAGCTGGGGGTGGGTAGTCCTTGCCCGGTTGGGAGCAGAGACGGTCGTGTGGATTTTCTTCGTCTGGGACCTGTCCTGCGCAGCGGTCTTCAACACTGCCGCGGAGCTCCGCCTGCCGCCGGCTTCTGAGTCTGTTGCTTGCAAGAGAGAAAGGGCGGCTCCATTGACTGAGACTTCGCGGGCTGCCAGCGCCGACAGAGACCAGCACAGTCCCCGCGGGTGCCTGGGGAAGCCATTCCCTCCGCCCTCCTCCCGGAACCGCCGCTTGGAGGGCCCCTGAAGCTGGAGCAGCACGTCCGCCGCACCTCTTCTCTGTTCCGTAGTGGGACATCATAAAGCCCGGCCTCCCTTCCCAGCGTGTGCCGGCTGCCGTTAGCGATGCCGAAGACCGATCACTGCTGGCGTGGGTGTCTGGGGGAGTCAATCCTTCTTCCCTCGCTCTCACCTGAGCTGCCATCACCAGCGGGGAGGTCCCGATCTTGCAGCTGACGCCGCGGCAGTCACCGCAGCCTACAGCGCCTCTTGTCGGTTGTCGTCGTAACTACACCAATGGGGAAATGCTTGATGGGCGGGCAAAGGCTGTTAGTGGATTTTCTTCTTATCCTTGCTGCTGTTGTTCGTTTTGTGTTGTTATATATATATATATATATATATATATATATATATATATATTTTCTAGTAAAGAACTGTTATTCTTTTTTCTACATCTTTGCCTGGAAGCCCCGTAATTTCCAATTCATAATAGTTCGGAGGAAGGAGGAGATCTTTCCATTCCAGGGACATTCCCCTCTTCCTTGGGAAATATCTCTGTTTTAAACCAGAACAATGTTATTGTCAACAGATGATCTCCAATGACACTTTCAAGAATTTGACAAGTCAGAAAAGGGACTGCTGTTGAGCCCATAAGTTCCTTAAGGGGAAGGTTTACCTGCACATGGAAGAGAGATAAACCACACCTGCAGAACACCAGTTATAAAACAGCTCTGGTGCCATGGTCCTCTCCATGTGTACCTCCTCCTATGATGTTCTCAGTACAGCACTTCTTTCCCAGGCAAATCTTCAATAAAAAAGCACATTTATTCTCCTTCTGTGGTACTTTTCTCCCACAAATGTTCATGGGTTGAAAGTATTAGGGTCTGTGTGTGTGGTGGTGGTGTGGAGAGAATATGTGTCACTTATTAATGAAGGGTTCTTTTTGTCTTGTACTTTTATTTTCCAGATATTTCCGTATGATGAGGAAAGTTCTCTGTATAAATATATCCCTGCTTTGGAAATAAAAAAGCTGCAGGAACAGAATGCCAGCCTTCGGGCTGCTATTGCACAAATGAGGAAAGAAATGGAGAGTCTTGATGAGCAGATGTTGTCTTCTCTTCCTCAAACAGAAGACAGACAGTTTGCAGAGCAAGGTGAAACTCTTGACAAAGAACTTTAAATTCAGTTAAGGAAGTTTAGGAGTCGCAGTCATAACCTATGAAGGCTCCCCAATCCATGAGTGTGTAAAAATTGTTATTTGATTGCACCATACACAAGAACACAGTGGTCTGAGATTCTGTTTACAAAACAATTATTAGTGAAAAGAAACACACACATGTACACACACTCACACGCTATAAGTCACTATAAAATTACCACTAGAAAAGCAATCATGTCTTGATTTTGCAAGAATAAAGCAATTATATGTATATTACAGAATTCCTGATAGCCAAGCCAGTATGTAGAATCACATAATGGCTTGGATTGGAAGGGATCTTTAAAGATCTCCTAGTCCAAACCCCCCTGCCATGGTGGTTTACAGTCCATTTACAGTGTATCTACTGAAATGATGTACAAAAGGAGGTTCAGGGGGAACTTACTACTATCTACAACTACCTGAAAGGGAGTTGTTGTGAGGTGGGGATCAGTCTCTTTTTCCTAGTATTAAGCAATAGGACAACAGAAATGACCTCAAGTTATGCCAGAGGAAGTTTAGATTGGATATTTTTAATTAAATATTAAAAATTATGAAATATTAAATAGTTAAGTATTAAAATTTTCTTTTTGAAAAGGCTTATTCAAGCATTGGCACAGGCTGCCCAGGGGAATGGTTGAGTTACCATCCCTGGAGGTGTTTAAAAGGTATATGTGTGTGGACATTTGAAGACGTGGTTTAGTGAAGGACTTGGCAGTGTTAGGTCACTGGTTTCACTTGATGATTTTAAAGGTCTTTTCCAACCTAAATCTATGGTTTTATGATTCTGTAACTAGACAAACTAGACATTTATATGCATAAGACAGTGTTCTGAAGCAGCTCTTGCTATGAAAGCCTAAACTCTCTATAAATACATATACATTCCTATTATCCTCCTCTTTTAGGTTCATTAAACACAAACAAAATTTCAACTGGAACCACACTGAGCAACATCAAAGTCAGTTCAGCTAAATTGGATTGTTTAGTAAACCCAGACATGGAAGAGGTATGTTGAGATTTAAACCGCCTAAAAATATCTGTATGTATGTGCGTGCGTGTAATTAAATACCTAGTGTATTATTATTGTTTGAGTAAGTATTATAAATGGAAGTAATATGTGCTTATGTGATTGGTCAGATGAAAGCCAGCAAAGATTTTTTTAGCCAAACTTACTCTTATTCTTTCCAGGCAATAAATTTTGACCAGTCAACCCTTGGCACAAGTCACTTCTGATCTTGCAAGCTGGTCTTGATGTTTTTTTTTTCCTACTTGCAAATGCTTAAACAACTGTGTGTTACTGCTTCAGGTTTTCCATTGCAAATCCATATTTTAATGCTGAATTACTTATGCTTTATGTGTTCAGACATGTAGCAAATAGGGGATATGCAGGCCAAAACTTCAAGTGAATAAAATGCTGGAATTGTAGTTGATGCTGTCTTCACTGAAGTTGGACTATTGTTTCTTGCCTATTTTTTCGGTCTGCTTTATTTTTAGTTTTTTCAGTACATAACAAGCCTTCTTAGACATAGACTGAGCCGAAAGCAGTCCTGAAAATATCTTAAAAACAATGGGCAATACTTAATTTTACTTTCTTACGGGATTTTGCAATTGCTTATCATTAGCATTTTTCTACTCTTTCTCTGTGCTTCTTACATTTATTTTTTAATTGCGTACTAAGGATGTACTTAAGGCCATGAAGAATTACAGGCAAAATTATTTCTACCTCAGGGAGCTCGGAATCTGTTGAGCAATAATGGTAACTAAACATAGGGGTGCAGGTGAAGTCAGTAAGCAAAGCCATATAGTGATAGTTTTCTTTTTTCCATTTAAAATAACAGAGTTTCTGTGATTACAATCTGGAAATTATAGGCTTCAGCACTAAAGAAGAAGAGAAAAGTTTATTGTGGAAACTAGTAAAAATAGCATGTAAACTTTTGCTTGTACATATATTTTTCTATTTGTCTTTTGTATCAGCTCCGAGGAGAGTTCTTCTTCCCACTCTTTTTTAGTATCCATCTTTTCAGTGTTTTCGCTGTTTTGTACTGCAGAATTTTGCTCTGGGTCTAAAGGTTAAAAGATTTCTGAGTTCCACTCCTAATTCTACAGCTTACAGTCTGGGAAAAAAAAAAAAATGTTCTGTGCAATGCTGTGGAATATTTTTCTGAAAAGTTCAGGGAAAATAAGTTTAAGCAAATGGCATTCCTTGCCCCAGCCAGGTGATGTGCTTTTGTCTTTTGATCCGGTGAAGGTGATCCACAGCATGACAGCCAGTGGTCCCATGACTGGTCATTGCCTTCACCTTGCTTTATGTTAAGCTTTAGTATGCCAATTTCACCAACGAAGGTAGACTGTAATAATTTCACAATCACACACACACAATCACATAGAATCACTGGGTTGGAAGAGACCTTCAAGGTCATCGAGTCCAACTGAGCCCCAACAGCTCAACTCAACCCTGGCACCCAGTGCCACATCCAGGCTTTTTTTAAACACATTCAGGGATGGTGACTCTACCACCTCCCCATTCCAGAACTTTATCACCCTGTCTGTAAAGAACTTTTTCCTAATATCCATCCTATATTTTCCTCGGTGCAGCTTAAGGCTGTGTGCTCTCTGCCAGTTGCTGCCTGGTGAAAGAGACCAACCCCACCTGACTACAACCTCCTTTCAGGGAGCTCTAGAGACTGATAAGGACACCTCTGAGTCTCCTTTTCTCCAGGCTGAGCACCCCCAGCTCCCTCAGTGGTTCCTCACTGGGTTTGTGTTCCCAGTCCCTCTCCAGCCTCGTTGCCTCCTCTGGATGCTCTCGAGCGTCCCAAGGTCCTTCCCAAACTGAGGGGCCAGAACTGGACACAGCACTCGAGGTGCAGCCTCACCAGTGCTGAGTGCAGGGGAAGGATGACCTTCCTGCTCCTGCTGGCCACACCATTCCTGATCCAGGCCAGGATGCCATTGGCCTTCTTGGCCACCAGGGCACACTGTTGGCTCATGTTCAGTTTGCTGTCAGCCAGTACCCCCAGGGTCCCTTTCTGCCTGGGCACTGTCCAGCCACACTGTCGCCAGCCTAGAACGCTGCAGGGGGTTATTGTGGCCGAATACAGGACTCAGCACTTGGATTTATTAAACATCATTTTATTGGATTCTGCTCATCCTTCCAATCATTCCAGGTCTCTTGCAGAGCCCTCTTACCTTCCAACAGATCAACACATGCTCCCAGCTACTTGTGTTACTTGCTTTTATACAAACTGCTAGATATGTGTCAAAGTGCAGTTTATTTTGCCTTTCACTTTGGTGTCTTAGAATTTTTAGACTCTAGTCCTGCACTAATTTCTCTACCTTTCTCCCCCATACTCTTTGTAGGCCTGCATGCTTTCTCAGTAAGTTCTCAAGAGCCTTCCTTTTAATGGTAAAATTATCGAAAGAAATAAGAGCATGGGAGTTGCATGGCACAATAAGGCAACAATGGTTTGATTTTTTTCTCAGTATGGATAATAGCTTTCAATGTGTACTTCTTGAATCATAGTGTTTAGGGTGATTTAGTTGAAAACTGATTGAGATTGCACAGTTAGCTAGTTTATATGTAAAAGGGTAAACATACCAATGAGTAATTGTAAAACAATTTTGGTGCATGTGATACATTCAGATCCTTATGGCAATGTGTGAAATGTAAAATCTTTATAGGGAGATGACTGTTCAGTGAATGATGACTATTTAAATGGCTATCAAAAAGTCTCCTCTGCGGGGACTGAAAGAAGACAGACAGACCTTGAAAAACAAGGATGTGATCTTTTGGGTATATACCTTACCAGTATGTGTATGTGCAGGTGGACCCAGATTGCCAGAGACATAACATTGTAGAATCTTTACTTTTCAGTAAATGTTTTAAGTTATATCTACCCCTTTTGTTTGTATATACAAATGATAAAACAATGTACACAAGGATTAAACAAAGAAGGATTTGTAGCAGATTGCTATTTGGTATGAAGAGCTTTTTTCCACATTTTATCTTGAAATTAAGTGCTTTTTAGTTAACAGTTATACAGTGTTTATCCTATGTGTATTGTTTTACACTTACAGTTGACAATATCTGTGGGAATGTCTCAGGCTGTTACAGTGTTTTGCTCCACAGTTTAATTTGCCCGATACTGCTAAAAAATCTGGAAAATGGGCCCGAAAAAATGGACTGTAGCCTTCAATTTTACACTTTTTCTTCAACTGATCTGTCATGCATATTTGTGCAAATCTCTGAACCTGAAAACCCATTTTCAAAATATTTATTATAAGCATTATCTGTTTTACTTAGGGGCCAGAACCCAAAGTTCTTGAAGAAAACATGGTCAATTTTGGACAACAGCTACCCGATGTAGGTACTGGTAATGGTTGTCAATATAGTGTCAAACACATTCTACAAGGAATGCAAAATAAACTCAAGGAAGCAGCAAGAAAAATTTCAATTCTGAGCCAAGAAAAGCGGCAGCTGATTGAAATGGGAAACAGACTCAGGGCAGAACTTGGAATGGTGTTAAAGGAAGGTAAATTTATTCTAAAGAAAAGTGCTAGCATATATATTTAGAATAAAATTGACAGGGAATCAGTTCATCCTCTGAGCTGGAGAAAGCTAGGCTTCATTATGAAAAAAGGTGCTGAACCTTAGTGATCCTTGATCTACATAGCTCATGTGAGACTGTGGTACTAATGCTTGCAAGTAAGATTAGGGTTAGGATAGGAGATGCTAAGATAGAACAAAAGTCTGTGTAGTGACTTTTGCTGATAAACATCTTAGATGAAGAACTCTCTGGTGCCTAGAAGTCAGTGCGGGAACTGGAACTGTAAGACTTTGTTTATGAGCAGAAAAGAGGTATTGTATCTCTTGGAATAAAAACTAACGCTTTAGGAAAGAGGAAGAGAAAGCAGAATAAGTTTACTGTAAACTTGAATTAAAAGTATATATAATGTAAAAAGATTTCAGTGTGGATATCTAAGTTCTATGCACAGTTTTTCTGGCAATGAAATAAAGGGAAAAAAGCATGAGGCCCATTTCTGCATTTGCAATGAGAAGGCCTGTGTTCTGTGGTTCATTTATTATCTGCTGTAAACACTTGCTGGAAATGCAATATGGTTGACAAAATATCAACAAAGAATGCCTTCCTCAGTATATTCTCTCTTTTATAGGAGTCTGGCATCCTGTTAGCTCTAAACACTGCACAGTTTGTATTGCCTCTGGTAGTCTTCTTCCAAGAGAACTTGTCAAAAGAACACAGTGTCAGCTATCAGTTCTAAAGCATCTACAGCACAGACTCACAACACAGGTAATTGTATGCTGTTTGAAATTTAGCGATAATAAGCCATTAAGCCAGTTCTGATTCCATTAATATAACCTAAAATTCTGCATTTAAATTACTCTGACTGAGTTTAGCTCAAATCTATCTTTGGAAGATTCCGTAGAATCATTGCATATCTGGAGCTGGAAGGAACCCATGAGGATCTTTGCACCCTGATGTCACACAGGACAACCTAGAAGTTAAGCCATTTAAGTTAGAGGCATTGTCCCAAATGTTTTTTGAACACAGAAAGGCTCGGGGGCCATGACCACACCCTGGGGAGATTGTTCCACTGCTTGACCACCCTCTCAGGGAAGAATTGTCTGAATTTTTCCTGATGCAGATTTAAGCCATTCCTTCACATCCTATCACCAGACACCAAAAACAAAAATCAGTGCTTCCTACTCTTCCATCATGAAAGGAAGTTACAGAGAGCAATGAGGTCATCTGCCAGCCACTTCTTTTTTAAGTTGAACAAGCCAAATATCCCCAGCCACTCCTCATAAATCTAGCCATCTAACCTTTTCACCATCTTTGTTGCCCTCCTTTGGACTTTTTTTTCCTAATATTTTTACATTCTTCTCATATTGTGGAGCCCAAAAATGCACACAGTACTTGAGGTAAGGCCATATCAATGCTGAGCATAGTGGGCCATTAGCTTCTTGTGGCCGGTTAGCTGTGCTGTGCTTAACACACTGAAGACACAGCTGGTCCTCCCGGCCAGCAGGATGCACTGTTGACTCATGTTGAGCTTGCCGACAATCGAAACCCTTTCTTCAGGGCTGCACTTCAGCCTCTTGTTCCTCAAATGTATGCAGTCCATGCCTGTAGTCCCAGGTACAGAATCCAGCCTTTTTGGTCTCATTAAATTTCATGCAGCTAGTGATTACCAAGCATTACAGTCTATCGAGGTCTCTTTGTAAGGTCTCTCTAGCCAGAAGGGAATCAATGAGTCCTTCTCATTTAGTATCATCAGCCAACTTCGTGCACGCTCAACTCATGCATCCAGGTCATTGATCAAAGACTGGAGAATATTGACCCTAAAATTGAGCCCTGGCAAACACCATTAGTGACTGGCCACAAGCCAGATGGTTCCCCATAAGTTTAAATGGTTTGGGACTTCAAAAGTAATATTTTTAAACATGATCTTCAATCAAGGTATTTCAGAAACAAATGTATTTATGCAGTGTAAATGCAATCCTAAATTACAAATTTCGTAAGGCTTACTTTTAACTGAGCAGGAAAGACTGTTTGAAGGATTTGCACTATGTTCTAACATAAACTTTAAAATGATTAATCAGTCAGGGTATTTCCAAATACTCACAATGGTGGGATTTTAAAGCACCCATGTCCAAATAACTGTAATAGCACCTTTTCCATCTATAAAAGCAAGATATATAGTTAACCTGTCTCATATACTTTGTAATTAAAATGCAACATTTAATAGGTAAATTGCAGCATTTATCAGAGAGACTAATGAAAAAAATCCTGGCTTCCCTAGTAGTTAGTGGCAGACCTCCCAGTAGCTTCGATAGTCAGGATTTCACTATGTACTTTACTTAATTGATCAGCAGATTTGTTCCCGTGAGGATTGAGTCAGAGCAGTTGATTGTTGTTGTAGTTTTGAAGGCAGTAAACAGTGTTCTTTTAGAAAGGGTGAGGTTGTTGCTCTGAGGTATAAAACTCCAGTAGAATTATTAACCAAGTTTAGCTGGGGAAACACTTCCTCTGGGAATCACTCTGTGCAAGTTGTTCCAGGGTTTGGTCACCCTCACAATAAAGAAGGCTGTCATTTGGTTGGGGTTTTCTTCCCCCTTATACTTAAGCGAGGTGTCCTGTACTTACCTTTTTGCTCATTATCCCTTGGCCTTCCACTGTATAGCACTGAGATGTCTCCAACTCAGTCATCTTTATCTCCTTATAACATCCTCATCAGATGCTTATACATGTTGAAAAGATTAATCTATCTTTTCTGGAGGCCAGCAAGGCCAGCTGCCCCAACCTCTTCTTCTACATCCAATGTTCCAATTCACTGATCATCTTTTTGGCTATTTGCTATTTTGTGGAATGCCTCAGCGTGCTTGTGGCTTTATAATTTTTTCTGTATGCTTGTGATCATCTCATTAACCTAAAGTCACAAGATTGGCATCCTTTGTTCACTTGAACTTTCAGTTCTCTGTTTCAGAAATAGTGACCTGTTCATTAAATGCTAACACTGTAAATAATTTTTACGGAGAAATTCAGGTTCAGCAAACCACTTGAGGAGACCTCTTGTGACCTGCTTGTTTCATCTGTGCACTGCTGGGATTGAGGTCTGAAAAAAATTGGCTAAATGGTTATACCAAACATACATAAAAGTGACTTCAGATCTGGGCAAAATTACCAAAATTCAAAACCACGGTTTTTTTTCCTTTTCCACCTCTTTAATTATTCTTTCTTTCATAGCTCACCTTAGAACTTTGCTGATCCTCAAATTAAGACCAATGAATAGTCATATCCATCCATCCCAATCTTCTCTTGCCTTATTTTTAATGAGCAAGATACTGTGTTTGTATTTTTCTACATATCTCGTGTCTCCCATGTTCTGTTAAAAATCATTAAAGATGATTCTTATTCTTGTTAGAATAAATAGATTTTTAAAATACAGTATGACTATGGCACTTGGAGAGGTAGAATTTGGCTGTGACTTTCCAGATGGTGAGCTACATGCTGGGAGTAGTAGTTCAACTGCTTCAGCTGATGGGTTGCTTGGAGGTCATGGCTGAAATGGTTGTCATTGAGGATCTTCCCACCTCTGGAACCTTTGAGTTCATAATTTGCCTATACTAGAAAGGATAGCCCTTCTTACATCCAAGCTCATACTCTCATTCCAGGCCGCTCTTTACTCAGAATATATCTGCTGAGGCTTCAGCTCCTACACAAAAGCTGAGCTCCAGATTGACTTTCCAAAGAATACTATTATTCTAGTTTGGGTGTTTTGATTCTAGGCGATCCTCTTGCTGGCCAGGCTACATTTGGTCCTGCATTCCAAGATCTTGATCCTTATAAAAAACCAAGAAAATTTATTACTGTCAAAGCTACAGGAATTTTACTGTCAATTACTTTATGTGATGGGCTTACGTTTTTCTTTAGTCTTAATTACATAACAGAAGACTTCAGTGTTTATTTGCATCTCCTTTGACAGGGCTGAAGCAGTTAGCTTTTCATCAAATCTCACTTTAGTTGCTACAAGTTGAAAGTTGGTGAAACTTTGAGAGGTAAATTACTTCATTTTGGCTGCTGACTATTTACTTTTCCATCGCTGCTTTATTTTAGTTGGGGTTTTAGGTATTGTTTTGCAGTTTTTCTTCTGTAGTTTAATCACAGGAAAATATGAACGTGAAGGACCCTGATGATATAAGCTTGAGCAACAAACAAGGTGATAGTAACAGCACCAGGAAATGTAGATATTGAACAGATTTGATACTAGGTTTATTATAAAGGTAGTTTGACCCTGTTGATCTGAAGAGAACATAACTTAGTTTAATATTATTTATAACTGATTATTTTAAATCTAGCAGTGTAACAGCAAACTGAGCTATAAGGATGTTAGTTTTAGGGACCATGAGTTACTTGTGTTAATGTAATATTTCACATTAGGAGCTGCAGTGCACAAGGCAACAGCATCCTTCAAGGTTCGCTTCTCTTACTGCCTGCCCTAGCTTAAAGGAAGAAGAAGCTCCAAGCAGCTGTGGAGAAGAAACAGGATTACCATCCAGTGAGGTACAGTGCAGTTTTATGACCAATGTAATTCACCTTCATTTGGCTTTTTCAATTTGAATTGCTCAACAGTCATCTCCTCGAAGACTTAAAAACCTATGACTTTTTTAAATGCATTGTCTTTTTTATGCATTGTTCCTGTACAAAATAGTATTTGTTAACACTAAATAAACTAGGGTTTCTCAATCACTGCCATGATGTTGTAATTAATCTTCTTGTACAACCTTTCAAAATTAAAAATAATAATTTTCTTTTGTCTTGCCTCTTGCTGAAATCGTCTTTCTTTCCAAGTCCAAGATGCCACTATGAAATGTAACCAATTTTCTGATCTCTTTGATGTGAAATGTATGTATGTCTGTAAGATTGTGTTTGAATTTTAACAGGTTTGGATAGATTTCTCTATTGAAAATCATGGGCCAGATACATTCTCAGCAACAAAGGAAGATACAACCACAGAGATTTTTCAAACTCAGCTGCTCACTCAGAGTCCTAGTCATGTCCAACAGGTTCAGCTTTCTTCATCTAGAATGCATAATTTCTGTCAAATTTTAGATACGGGAGCAAGCCGTTCTCTACTCAGTCCTCAAAAGAACACCAGCCAGGGTAAGCCTGCTTTGTAAAGCAGTCACAATATTTGACTCTTCTAGAAGTGTGGAATTACGGTGGATTCTGTTGTCGTTCACTAATTCTTTTACATACTGCTCCTCTTGTTACAGCCCTGTGATCAAAATCTGAATGAGTTACTTGAAGGGAATTTCACGGTTGCCAGCAGAAGTATGAATTAAGAGGAATGTCCATATAGCTGTCTGGTTTAAATGCCTTCATTGCAAATATTTCTTCACTGTTTTTAAGTACTCCTGTAGAATGCAAATTCTGTTTTGACATAGTCTAAAACTTAGCTGGGGCAGATAAAAATGTGTCTGTTTGAGAACTGTACACTCATATTCATATGCAATTAATCACATACAGACTGCAGGAACAAGAATGCAATCACTGGATTAAGGGAAGTGATTTGTTCCCCTAAATTTGACACTTGCGAGGCCACTGTGTCCACCTTTGGACCTTCTTGTACAAAAGTGTGACAAACTGGAGTCCACTGGAGAGCCACTAAATGGCTGGGGCATGGGAACACATTACACAAGAAGAGGTTTAGAGAACTGGGTTGTTCAGTGTAGAAAAGAATAGGTGAGTGGTCTGTATGGTGCTTTTTAACTCTCCGGTGAGGGATTTTGGAGAAGACAGAACCAGACTCTTAGAGATGCACAGTGAAAAGTGGCAAATGGACACAAGCTGTGTCAAGATACATTCTGAATAGGGAGTGATAAGCACTGTGACATTTCACCCACAGGTCCCATCCAGCCTATGTTACATCTGTTTTTAAACCAGTTTATGAAGGCAATGAACCATCTTTAGTAGCTCACAAGAAAAAAATAATACTTAAAAGGGCTTTCAAAATGAAGAGTGGATTATAAGTGTATTTATTCACAACAGCAGTGCATTGCAGGGACAAAGTAATGTGCATTGACCGACCTGTAGGACTGGAATGGACATAGTGCTGAGATTCATGACTCTTGTGCTTTTTTTGTGAGGCTAGGACTGACATAGGAAGAGCATTTCAGGCCAGGCCTATATTGACAGGATAAGCAAAAGGATGTCTTTGAAACATTACTGATAGTGCCATGCAGTTTCGTGCTGTTGGATGTGTGATGCAACAGCTCTGGCAGCCTTACAAGGACATCAGTTTCTTAATGTCTAGAAATTTCCAGCCACTCTTGCAAAACTTAATGTAGATTTTCGGGGATCTAGAAATAGCAAAAGGGACAGAGGATACTGCCAACGTGGAACAAGTGAAATGTGAATCAATAAGGGATAATATTTTCCTAAGACCAAGTTTAATTTGATCTCTGCATCCAGATTTATATGAGGCATACCACAGTGGAACTTCTTACTCAACCGTGCAGGCCCAGAAATACTGCATCGCAAGAATGCGATTTTTAAACACACTATATTGCTGCTTAGCTTTCTCCTCCAGGAAAAGGTGTCCTTAATTCCACTGGACTGAATTCTGTATTTCAGAAAAAAAAATTATGAAAGAAAAATCTTTCTCTTTTTTTTGGAACAACATCACCTTAGAAGCATTATATACTTTTCAAAATTTCAAAATAAAATTTTCAAATTCTTCTCCTGATTTTTAGCAGAGGCTTGTATTATTTTTCAGGCCTGAGCTATGGAAATTAATTCAATCTTTCCTGTTTAAAACCACTGTCATTGAGACAGAGTGACTTGGAGCTGGGCTTTCAGGTGCAAGTGACGCATCCAGAGACTTGGAAGCTCAGTGGCAAAAAATGATTTGCAGCAAAGCATGCAAGTTAGTTTGCTTGCTAAACCCTTTTTTTTTTTCAAACCCTTTTTTTTTTCCCAAGTTCAATTCTGTCAAAATTGGTAACATCAGTAGATGTGTTTTGTGGGAATTTCTGGTGAAACTAATTGTAGCTTGAAAATTATTTTTCTGAACCTGTTAAACAGTTTCATTTTTTTCATGTTACATGTACCAAACAGCCTACTGGCACTCAAAATGGTTGGCATGTCAAGTAAGCCCTGCAATTTGTTGTATTTCCAACCTATTACACAATGCAATGACTACATGTGTTTTGAAGAGTTAATGACTACATCTTAATTACTGAAGTGGACTGTTAATATACTTTATTCATTTCACCATCAAATTCAGACCTTGTGTAAGCTTCCAAGCAAGTCAAAAGGCTATGAGATATTTTAATTTTCTCTCTCCTTACTCTACCTGCTAATTTTCAGTTTACTGTAAAAATTAGATGGATTTCATAGCTTGTATGTTAATTCTGCAGATAAGTAGAAGGAAGATGTTTAGAAGGATCATAGGTCCCTTCTTCAGGGGTTTTTATTGTTCTGTATTATTGAAAGAAAAAGAACCTCCTAGAGATAGACAGATACAAGCCATGATGATATTAAAAGACTACATAGGATGCATAGGCTGTACAAATAAGAAATACACCTCTGTATTTCTTTACTTTTTAAATGCTCTATCCCAGAGTTTGAGAGCAGGTGGAGATTTTGATTGGTGATCCATATCATATGCACCTTGAATGCTGACAACAAGCCTCCCTCAAAGGAAAGCAGAGCCTTTTTTGATTTTAGAGGCAATGTCAGGCAGGAGGAGGGGAAGATTTGTAAAACATTTAGAAAATGGAAATTTATTTTCTTCTGTTTATCTTGATAAGTTTACTATTCTATTTGCTATTGAAGATACTTACCAGTTTTTCAGAGGGGAAAAAAGCAAAAATCACCTATAGAAGTTCAGCTGTAATAATGCATTTAGCATGAAGCCAGTATTGTGAAGGGTTCTGTGTGGTACTGTGTGAAATGCTCCTTATCAGCTCCAATCAGCTATCCTTGGGTTAGCAGAGGATGGGTCAGTGCAGGGGGAATATGGGTGTAAGGCAAGCTGTGTCCCCACTAGTCATTTGACTTATTCATATTTAGTATAGATGAAACTTTGTATTTTCACATCCCACACCCCACCACCACAAGTATTCAGAACCCTGTCCTCAGTTTAATAATTTGGGTTTACATTGTAGCCTAACAAAGAACAGGAGTGAGCTGCTTTGAGGTAAAGTAACTTTTTTTATTTACTACTTGAGTTTAGATAGGGGAGTTTCTTGTACTGTAATTCTCACTGTAACTTGCAAAGCTCTGTCGTCTGAAATTCCACGCTTCATGGATCAAAAGTTATCTTAAGTGTTTCCACACTAGACAGAATTTCAACAGCTTTGACATCACTGACAGTTCTAAGAGCAATCCATGTGGGTAAAAAGCTGGCCAGAGAAAGAATCTGGTAAAATATTAACAAAGAGAAACAGTGCTCTGGCTCGGGCTTCATTCCAGCTCCAATCAGAGAAAAACTCATGATCTCTTTTCTGCATTACGTAAAACTTCATCTTTGAAGTGTTTCACAAATATTAACTAATGCCCTAGCTACCTTTTCTTCATTTTTGTGTTCTTCTCCTGAATAGGAACTTGTTTGAGTTGGTGTTCCTTCAGAAGCACTGTTAGCCATAAGCAAATATCTAGTGACAAATTTCTTAAATGAAACTTCCATCTGAGGAAATTTCAGTTTGCCTATACAACATGCCTGCATATATATCTTTTATCCTGAGGGGAAAAAAATCTATGAATGTTCATTTCTGACTGAAGTTAGCACACATCAAATGGAAGATATGTTAAGCATTTCAATACACTAAACACTTAGTTCCATTTTCAAAAGCAGTTTAGATGCTTAGCTATGATCTTGCTAGCTCTGGTTGCCACGGTCACTTCTGAAGTAAGTTGCAGGCTTGTAAATTAGGTGTGTTTTTTCATTGGTGTGCAAACCAAGCTACAGCATTTAAAGAGTATTTCTAATTCTGGGTATTGATTCTTTATCTTTTCCTAATTTTTGGAACTAACCTTACAAGATTGCGGTGGTTGATTTTAAATTTCTGTGTTAGTACACATTTTTTACAGTCCAAAATTTAAAAATAGCCATGTAGAATGCTTGTATTCTGTGCTGTTGTTCCAAATACCTAACTAAGAAGCCTTTACTAGTTACAACTATAGTTTCTCTACTAATGACAGGAGACAAGCAGACAGAAGTCTTCACAGGAAGGGATGCAGTCATCCATTGGTGCTTGGTTACTTTGCCTTTAGAATTACACAATTAAGGCCACCCACATTAATTTCTGAAAGTCATCTCCTTGGGTGAATACAAAAGGCCCTTGAAAACTGAGTATTTTAAAAAACAGACTGTCTGTAAGCAGTGTTAACTGTGTGCTATGGAGCACTGGATCTGCTCATTCCTGTTATTTAGACCACCCACAAGAAGTAGTATTATTCTACTGCTGTTCCTGTTCAAGACAGTAATCTTCGAAGCAATACCTTTCAGACACTGCTGCCTGCACTTTTTTAAATGGTTGTTGTTGTGAAATTCTGCTTTCTTATCTGCCAGATGTGGGAGAGGCATTCTAATGATTAAAGTCCATTTCCCATGCAGGAAAATACACCCAACGATCTTCATGGGCTCCAAGCATCCTCTTCCATACCTTCTACATCTGTAGGAAACCACTAGGTGGCAAGCTGAACCACAGGATATCACATCCACAGCTCAGGAGTCCACTGAGCTTTTGTCACCAAGCTGATTCAGTGCAGAGATCACACACATGAGTGAACAGGTGGTTCAAGCTAAGCCAGTGTATAAAAATTATTTTGAAAAGTGTCGTGTTTTGACATTAGCCACAGTGGCATGCGTTGCACAGAGCTATAAACCTTCAATCGATCAATCCATTCCATAATTCAGGAACATGCTATATTTCCTGTTATGTAGAATTTTGTTTAGACTTTCTACCATGTTCAATGGACTTTGAAAATTTACTTTCTCCTACTAGTAACTGATCTTTGTCAATTTGTGCACCTTTTATTGCTGTGATTGAGTAGTATCTGGGACTGCAGACTGATGCTTATAAAATTAAACTAGTACAGAATACTGTAGGGTGTGTCATCACAGGTTTATTATGACTACTTCTGCTGTCCGCTTTGGCTGTCCATAGAAAATCTGAAGTTAAAGTCTCAATGACTTGAAAAATAAGGGTTAAGTGCCCAGAGCCAAACACCTGTAAATATTATCTATAGTTTACAGTGAATAATGCGAATGAACAGTTCCACTTATCTTACCTAAAGAAACCTGTGATAAGACTGAAGTTCAGTTAGTTGGAGATAATAGTTTTTGGAGAATTATGTGAGAACTGCAAGATGCACTCTGACTGGTATTAGGACCAGTCCCACTGCTTCCTAAACAAAGATGTTTCTTTTTGAGTTAGTCATTTTTGTAAAGACAGATATTTTAGATAACAAAACCAAATATTTGCATACTAAATGCTTTCCTAAATGAAAGAAGATTGAAAAAAGACCCAAAAGATAATGGTAGTAATACAGCTTTGTCAAGCCAACAGTTACCTCTGAGTCTTTTATATTGTGCATATCCAAACACATTTTCTCAAAATGGAGAGAAGGGTAAACTTGTAAAATATGATGTTTTAAAACAGCTGAGCAGATAGGTAGTGCTTGACTTGAGCTGTTACACTGACCTTCCAGATGTCTTCCTCTCTTAAGCAATCTGATGCTAATGGAGAATGAACATGTACAGATGAAGGGGGGATTGAGCAGAAGATACTGTGTTATACCATCAGTATGGCAAGCCTTAATGGACTGTTCTGGGCTCCTAGGTACAGAAATGGTCCTGGTAATATAAGATTTTGATAATGCGGCACTATGGCAGCAGTATATTTAGAGGAAAAGAGTAGACCAGGTCTCTTCAACTATTCAATCTCATAATTGGATACAAACATAACTACAAAGTATTTTTCTGTCTGTTTTTTGAGCAGGGGTGTTTGAAGTTGTACATTCAATCAAGCAATCTGAAGAATCTTGGCAAAATGTCAAAGCCAAGGATAACCTTGAAACATCAGCTGAAGATTTGACAGTCAGAGGAACAAGGCTGGAAGTTCAGCAGAAGTTAAAATCCAGGAGTTTATTTTGTGCTCATCTATTAAAACCAAAAATGTCTTCCAGCATGACAAAAATCCGCAATTATAATATTAAAGACTGATTTCTATGTTGTCAGCATGTTGTAGGTTCACACTTGCTATGAACTTACTTTGACATCTCTATATCAGGTCTAATTATCAGCCTCAGTTTTGTATGTCAGGTTGAGATATTTGCAGCCAGAAGAGAGAACAAATACCCTGCTTCATACAGTGAAGCCTAAAATAAAGGGTTAATCTGTGTGCATTATGAAGTTACAATCTTTGTTGTTGATGCTGATTTATTTTAATTATATATATTGAGATTTTCTTGCATCATGGATTTAGAAATGCTCAGTTAACACATAGGTAAAGCCTTGTGCCTTCAGGCAGGACTTGCAGGACTTCAGCAGATGTTTTGTTGAGAAACTGTAGATGTGATTTCAGCTTAGAAGTGGGATGCCTCAACCTACTTGTCTTCTAAATAACAATGCAACCGTTAATCCTGTGCAGCTATCTTTCTACTTGATAGAAAGGGGTTTCAAAAGATTGCATCTGAGTCTGTATTATTTCTCATCTTCTGTAGCTCTTTCCACTTGTTCAGAGAGCATGAAAGAATATAAAATTAAATTTCTATTGTCACACCAGTGATTGTATTTTCCCTTGACAAGAGATTGTATGGACTTCAAAGCAGTGAGAAACACTGCTACAATGTTAGAATCATATATTCATAATAATACAGACATGTTGTAAGAAGTAAGTCTTAAAATAGATGAAACTAGAAGAAAACTTGAATGAGTTGTGATGTAAGAAAGGATAGCTATGTAGTAATGATCATGCCAGGACACTAATACAAGTGTTCTGGCTATGTTTAAAAAAATCGTTTATTTTTGTAGCATTTCCAGTAATGCTGAGCTGTCCTGCAACATTACAGAGATGACCTTTCCTGTAAGTAAAGGAAATGCACATGAAAAATTAAATAAAAAACTTTTAATTGTGGGGATGGTCAAGCACTGGAACAGATTGCCTGGATGAGTTATGGAGTCTCTGTCTGTGGAGATACTCAAAACTCAACTGGACATGGGCCTGGCCAGACTGTTCCAGCTGACCCTTGAGTTGAGGGCTTGGACTAAGTGATGTCAAGAGGTACCTTCCAATCTTAAGAGATTCTGTGATTCTGCAAGTGGTATCACTGAAGTGAATAATACTTATCAGTTGCTCCTAAATATATAAAATCTAAAAAGGAGAAACTAAGGAAGAGAGCTACTTATGCATGAGTGGTTTTTCTTGTGGAGTGTTTTTTTATAGAAATGCTTGCCTGATACACTTTGCAAAGAAGTGTTCTCTTCAGCACCTGATAATATGCTGAAGAGCATTTGAGAATTGGAATAATTATTTTGTACTACCTGCTGAAAATATTCTGCTTTAGTGCAAAGGTGCAGTAATATTATAATCAGATGCTAGAAATATGCAATTTCATGAGATTTCAAATTTCATGAGATGCTGCTAAGTTAATATAAGGCCTGAGAGACCTTGTGAGCTTCTTTCTAAACATTTTCATTACTTGAAAATCCTGTCATTTGATTCAACATTGTTCATAAGCCAGGACAACATGATGCACTCCCTTGAACCAGGCCCTTGAATGAGTTCTTTCTGTAGCACAAAGCATAGTGGTTTCTAACAACTACAGGAATTTTGGCCCAGATCACACCAGTTAAAGCACTCACTGGTTATTTCTAGAACTCAATGTGTAAATTCCAGATGTTATAATAGCTGTAGATCATCCTGAAAATGTTTTTGTTATTTACGTGTTTAATATTGACCTACAGAGATGCACAATAGTACGGTGGTATGAGATTCTGTGCATATGTTAAAAGCAGCATAAAAGAGCAGTTTGTTCCATGGTATTTGTAATACTACATCTGAACCTGGAAAACATTTCTTTTTATTCCTTACACCGTAAGTGTAAGCTAATGGGCTGCAGACTTCAGAAATGCCGTTATGTAGGTTTGTATGCAGGTTTCTGTGGCTTTTTTGTTTGTTTGTTTGTTTATTTGTTTGCTTGTTTGAGGGTTTTCTGTTGGGTTTTTTGGGGGGAGGGGGTTGGCATGGGTTTTTTTGTTTTGGTTTGGGTTTTTGGGGGGTTTTTTGGTTTTTATTTGTGGTTGTTTGGTGTGGTGTCGCACTTACTCCCCCTCCCATGTCAACTGGCATGCCTGTTCATGCAGATGTCTTGCCAGTAATGCAGCTTTAATTTATTCAGTTTCCCTGAGAAACAGGTTTCCTTAAGTCAACTGTAGGTAAGGAAAGATGATAGCTGGGTTGTTTAATTTTATTTTATTTGTAGTAGAAAAAGAAGTAGTTGAGTTATTGAACAGAGTACATCTGAGAACATAGCATGTAAGTATGAAAATTAACAAAACATGCATAATAATAAATAATATGGACATACTGTGTGGGGCAGTTGTGCTAAGGGTGTACTAAATACAGCAGGAAAATTCTCATATATTTCTCTGATGACCAAAATATTTAACAAACTGGGCACTGATTTCTAAGAAGCAGATTAGAAGAGTGGCAGCAAGGTACTACTGTGGATGCTATTGAATTGTACAAAGAAAGGAATGCCTACAAAGAAGAGAATTCAAGCAGATCACAGAGTACTGAAAAGGTAAAAGAGGACATTATCTATTGCTGTCCTTATCAAAGGGTTAAAAACCTGTTATGTTGAGGAATATATAAAGGCAAAAAGTCTGCCCGAGAAGGTCTAAATGGAGCTGTATTGCGAAGCGGCAGTGCAAGCGCGACCCGGGAGCGGGGCCTCTGCCCAGAGCCTGTTCAAAGCCATGAGGGAGAGACAAGGTGGGGAGACTTTCCTGCGTCCCCGTGTTCAAGCCCACATTTGCCGACCGAAAGGCTTTTTTGTTTCGGAGAGGCAGTCGTAGGCAATACACAAGAAATCTGAGATTCGTTACTGTTCGTGTTTAACCGAAGGAGTGCAAGTTAAGGGAAAGTGGATGAGAGGTGCCCGCACGCAGAGCGACCCGCCCCATTCCGGTGGGAAGGGGGGCGTAGCAGGGGCACGGCGGGGAGGGAACCTCTGGCGCCCGCCCCCCACCTCCGGACTCGCTCTGCTGCCGCCAGTCAGGGCGGCGCGACGGGCCTGGGCACGGGGCAGCGCATCCCTGGCCGGCGTGCCTGCTGCCCTGTGGTAACCCCGGGACCGCGCTCCGCCGGGGTGAACGACCGCCGCCGCCGGAGAGCGACGGGCGCTGCTCGCTCTGCCGGCGGCCCCAGCCACCCCTCAGCCGTCACCACATCGCCTTATCGCTTAGCAACACCGCGCGGGCCCGCGATTGGCAGGGCCGCGCCCCCGCCCACGTTCCCCCGCCTCCGCATTGGGTGCCGTCCCGGGATTGCGCGGTCCTGCCCCGCGTCCTTTCCCATTGTGCGCCGCGGATGCGCGCGGGCGCTGCGCGATCCCACCGCGCTTGGACTGGCGCCCGCCGAGCCTTCGCCTCAGTCGCCGAGCCACGGTGCCGGCACGGCGCGGTCGTACGCCCCACAGTGTACCTACCGGCGGGGAGGTGGGAGAGGGACACGACAAGGTCCGCGCCCACGGGGGGTCGGCGCTGCCGCGTCCCCGGCCAGGCCAGGCCAAAGCCAGGCACGCCCGCAGCGCCTAGTCTTCCACGGCCTCCAGTACGGGGCGGGGCAGGGCGCGAGAGCTTGGCCCGGTGCCCGAGGGCAAGCGGGCCCGCCTGTGTCCGCCCCGGCCCGGCCAGGGCCCCCTCCTCCCGCGGAGCGGCTCTGGCGGACAGGGGTTGGCATCACCCTGGGTCTGACCGGGGCGGCCCTGCCCCGGCTCTCATTGGACTGCGGCGAGGCGTAAACTGTCAGCCCATGTGGCGTGGCCGCTGGAGGTGGCGACTGCTTAAATAGGAGTGGGAGCTAGAGGGAGATAGTGAGGAGAACGCGGAGTATCGGCCGTGCGCAGCCCGGCACCCGCCGCCGCAGCGTCCACCCCGCAGCATCTCGATCCCGCACTGAGCTGACGACGGAGTGTTACCAACACGAAGCCATCCGCACTTGTACAGGTATCGGCGGGAGAGCGGCTGCGGCGTGATCAGGAGAGCGGCAGCTTCTGCTCCAGGCTCCGCGGGCCGCTGCGCCCCGCCAGTGCGCTGGGGAGGCTCCATCTTGCCCTCTGCGCCGGGTAGCCGATGAGGGTCCCTGGGCTCGGCGGGAGTCCGCGGGCTCGGTCCGCGCGACCGGAAGGTTCTGCTCCCGGCCCTGGGGTTGCCGCGCCCTGTTGCTGCGGGCCGCTCTCCCGTGGCCCACCGCGGTCGTTCTGGGGACAGTCTCCCATTTCAGCGGCCGGTTACCGCGCCGCAGCCTCGCACTCCGCCCGCCGGCAAGGTGCCTGCATTGTGGTGCTGGCGCTCGGCCATCTTGGTGGCGGACAGGGACCGTCCCGCCGCCACGGCCGCGACCTCCCGCAGCCGGGCCGAGCGGGATCGGGAACGCGGCCGGGCCCCGCTGTCCGCAGTCCTCGCGCGCGCCCGGCGGCAGCAGCTGCGCGAGGGGCCGCGCCCGCCGCGGGCCGGGTGGCCTCGCGCTGCCGCAGCTCGGGCGCCGAGCTCCGCACGGCCTCGAGTGGGCGCCAGGGCCGCACGGGCCGCTCCGCCCGGGCAGCGGGGCCGCGTTCTGCACGCCGTCCCGGGTTAGCACGAAGGCACGGTCCTGGCAGGCTGAAGAAGCTTGTGCGGGAGGATATCGGCGCTCGATATTGGGAAGGGAGATTCGCCAATAGGTTCTGGGAATCCATCTGAGAAAACGTGCCGTGTGTATTGCTAAACTGTTCTTTCCCACTTCAGTATAAACCAGCGGCCCACACGAAATAGCCCGGTGATCGTACACCAGTATGGATTTGACGATGCGTTTCTATTAGGAATGTGATCTTCTTCTCTCTTTGGTTGGTTTTGCACCTGCTTGGTTCTTAGTCCGAATTCCTTCCCTGGAATACAGCCCTATAAGATACCAAATACGTATTGTCCTGGCTAATAGTTTTATTTGGATGCTTAAATTTAAACAGGCAGTATTAAGGGTGTGTAAATTGCCTGCTCCGTCAGACCACCTTTGGGGGCTTTGGAGCACGTCTTGTCTTAAAAAATGGGAGAAGAAACCTCAAGCCACGTGAGCCAAGGATTCACCTTTTCCTGCAGCCTCTATCCTTCTTGGAACAAAGTGAAAAGAACAGTACATTGTGAAAGGCTGCATTTAGTGGGTGAATTCAAAGAATGAGGGCAGTTATGAACAGCTGTTTTACAAACGTGATATAGTCATACCGGGGACTTTAGATTTTTATACAGGTAACTTCTGACAACTTGGGAATCAACCAAGCTGTGTTGATTCCATGAATAAAGCTTAACTTACTCTTTCTCCAGTTACAGATTTGAACTAGATTGCATTTCCCCC